CTCTGCAGGACTGCAAAGGAGTTATTAATGTAAAGAGAAACATTCAGCATTCACAGAAAAACAAACACTTTATGAACCATTTAGTCTGGTCCAGGGGTTTCCAACTCCAGTACTTGAGGCAATTCAGAAAAAACTTTACTGAAAAATCAAGGAACAATCCACAGAAGACAAGCACAAAGCATTGCATAAAAACAAAAAATACCAAAAGGGGAAAAAAGGGGAAGAAATGTTGAAATGATAGTCGGCATAAAAATCTTCAATTGCTTTCTTCTTTATGGTACAACTACATAATAAACTACCTCCATATTTTTTAGGCGATATTGATGCAAATAAGAGCAAACCATAGAATATCTTTAAAACGTGGAACCAAGACTTTTCAGACTCGAATAGCTAAGAGATACTTTTCACTGTTTTAGATCAGTGGCTGATCACCACCGTCCATCCAGAGAAGCTTAAACTCATTTAGCGCTTTAAAAGCATCTCAATCTAAATCAGCTGAGACCATACATGTACATTTATGGTCTCAGCTGGATTGATAACAATTGAGCGTTTTACCTTGAAAAACCACCAGCCACTTCAACCCATCGATAAAAATGAAATTCCCATAATAATGCTTAGACAAACCATAAAGAGAAGATGCTCATATTTAACAAGATTGGTCCTGAAAGGCGTCTTTCGTGTTATACTGTAATTGAGTAACTGCAGCCCTTTTTTGATGCCTCATTTGTTTCTTTTCTGGCCTGTTGTTCTGCTTCTATGGCATCAATTGAGACCAGAAGATCAAGTTCACGCAAAGGCAGCAGAATGAAAAAAATAAGTCATATACAGATACCCTTCCATCCATTATCTAACATGTCTGTCTCCAGCGGGGCACACAAATACATTTACATGAAACAAAATTATCCATTGCATTTTCTAATAAGCTTAGATCTGACAGAAGGACAACGCAGCAGTTTTGTCCTATATGTTATAACAATATATGCGTTGTGTTTTTCTCCTTTGCATGTTTTCTCTCGATGCCCACGGGACAGTAATGTCCTCTGACAAGCTGCTAAGGTCAGCTCTGGGGCTGCATGATCGCTGCACTCCAGGGGACTGCTGTGGACGCGGGCAGATTCCTCTACCTGCGTCTGCAAAGATTCACTAAAACCTTGTGGATTTTTGTGTCTTTGAGCGTGAAGGCGGGTGTGTGTGTGGGTGTGTGTGTGTAACGGGCGGGCAGGTGGTTTGTTAGCAGGCATGAGGGTCTTCCTCTTCCTCCTCCTCTTGACATCAGGCTCCCTACTGAGTGAGAAAGGAGGAAATGTGAACAGAGGTAACCTGGGAAACAGTGGAGGGAAAAAATAAAGGGCTCTGGTCACAGCTGTACGCAGATCTGGTAGATTATCTGATGCTGCTCTCTCTCTCTTTTTCTCTCTCTGTCTCTCTGTGTTTTTCTCTCTCTCTCTTGCTCTAATTTTCCAGTGAACAACAGCCATTAATGTAGAGATGCATTGTTGAATAATTGAACAAGTGGAACAGGATAATTGAAAAATCTTAACTAAAGTCAGTTGCCGTCACAACTCAATGAAAAGACACCATGAGCATGGAGAAGGGGTCCGTTTGTCTATTTTCATGTCTGTTTTAATTTTCAGTTGACTTTCTACCAAAGTATAAGGACAATATAAGTCATTATTTTTAGTCTTTTTTGCAAGTGAGACAAAGTTGCGTAATTAAGCAGATGTGTTGCTATGATTCAACCCGGCCCTTTCTGTGATTCTTCATCTTCTTCCTCACCAGTGATCGGTATTCACAGCTCTAATGGAGCTCTAATGGAGCTCTAATGGAGCTCTAATGGAGCTCTAACATCTCCGCGCTTTTTGATGGCTGACGACAGCACCTTTATACAAGTATTTAAATACCTACTTTCTTAGTATTGTGTCTTCAGGTTTGCTTTTAAAAGAATGTTGACTGAAGCCTTTCAGGGAGAGCAGTGGAAAACCTTCTTGCTCCACTTTTTCACAGAACAGAAGAGCTTTTTGTTCCGAGCGCGAGCGCTCTTTGATAACGTCCGAAAATGAAACTCGGCCTCTGAGTTTATTCCACTGACGTGTTTTCTGTTGTTTTTCTTTTTTAAATAAAATTGCTTAAGATAAACATAAACATGTTTTAATATCAGATCCTCCTGAAACCAGTTTGCAGTTCCAGTTGATTGTTGGTTTGCTCTCCATAATCAATGATACACATGAGATATTCTCATATAAATAGAAAAAAAGAAATCATCAAAAAGAAGAAATTAAGCCTTTTTGAGTTGCAAGTGTTACAAGGGGAGATTAGGAGTATTTGCTAACAGAATCAGCAATTAATTTACTAATAATCACAATAAAATGTTCCATGACTGAGTTTGGAAAAAAACAATCAAATCAGAACTGAAACCACTTCAGGAGCAATTCTGGGGAAAGGAGCAAGCAGGGAAAGATCCCACCCATCGCATTGAGGACTTACAGTCTCTGTTTACATCCCTGCTACTTATGAACTAATTAAAAACATTCGTGCACAAAACTGCTCATGGCTGCAGCGCTAACCTGAAAGCTTTTAAAGCAGATGCATCCCTGTCAGGGCTGCAGGGTGAAATTGCTGTTTTTAAACAGTTGGGATCTGCCATCTGTTTGCATTTAGCTTATTCTCTGCATGTATGTACGAGTTCACGCTGGTTACTTCAACTCGTTCCCACCAATGAAATACATGCACGGTTGGTTTATTAGCCTCTAAACTGCCCTCAGGTATGAGAGTTTTTGTCCCGTGAGACTCTGTGTTGCTCCGTAATGAGCTGCTGATTTGTTCTGGGAGAACCCTGCTTGTCGGATTGTATTTTGGTTCTTTACATACAGGTTTGTCCTTGAACAGTCCGTAGGTGGCAAAGGAGCAAATGGAGAGTCTGAAATTATTATGTAGTTAGAGAAAAATGTAGGTAAATATTTTGACCGAACCAATTCAACGATGACAGTGAAAGAGTTAAGACTCTTTATGGTTTTGGAAGATGAATAAGGTTTTTTCAAATTGTGAATCACATGAAAGACGGTTCAGAAAAGACTTGGCTACAGGTGTATTGTTGCTCCAAACTGTCCTGCAGCCCTTGCTGTCTATCCGTTCAACCTTTGCTCTTTCAGTCCTGTGTTGTGGCACATGGTCTGTGGCTTGTTGTCTGTCCTGCAGCTTTCCTTCTTCTGTGATTACATCAATCCAAGTCTGCCTTTTGTGTATATTGTCTGAAGTGAGCCAAACGTGTGTGTGTGTGTGTGTGTGTGTGTGTGTGTGTGTGTGTGTGTGTGTGTGTGTGTGTGTGTGTGTGTGTGTGTTTGCGTGACCCTCTGACCATAAAAGAAATTAGATGTGAAAGAGAGATCATTTCTACATGATTGGATTTGACTGCTTTGTGTTCTTTTCTGTCATGCTTATCTCTAGAGGTGTTGGGCTGAATATTGAGATTTATGCAATGAACGATCTGTAGATTCATCAGTTTGTGCTTGCGGATATCTGTGTGTGTGTGTGTGTGTTGGGGGCTAACTAATTGTATCACATTATGAACTTGAAGATGTTTCATGTTCTTCAAATATCCTTTCTACAACAACATGTGGTCTCTGTTTATTCACTTTGAGCAGAATTGTAATAACAGGCAGGGGAGCCATATTGGGGCCAGGGGGAGTTATGACCAGCAGGGGGCCCTCTACAATTTTCTTTTTATAAAAATAAAAAAATGGGGCCCTGCCAATTACAAAATTAATTATATTGTGTTTTCTAAAAAAATTTTTAGCAGAAAGAATTAATGTTAGACCAAAAAGCTCATATTTGTCCTGAACTTCCCTGGATCTGCATTAAATGGTTTGTTCCTCCTTGGAGCTTGACATGTTCAGCAACAGACAACAGTGGAAAACAAGAACCACTGTGGTGATACTATGCTGCTAAGAAAAATAATAGCTAGGTTTTCAAAAAAATAGAGAAGCAAAGAGAGAAAAATGTAAATGTGTCAATTTATAACTCAGCTTTTCTCCAAGAGGTGGTGGACTGTGTGAGATTACCAACCATTTAGCATAGTTAGCTTAGCTACAGATTGTTTACCTCCATTTCACTGACATTTAATGAATTAAGAAAATAAATTACATATTTTGTCATGGGGCCCAGGATTCCTGGCAGCGCCCCTGATAACAGGTCTAGTGAAAGACTCACAACAATTACTCTCGGGACTTTGAATGTGTCTTAGAAACAATAATTGGGTACATGAGTAAGAATTTTCTCAGTTGGCTCAAAAAGTTGCACACATCCCCACCAGTATTTGGTTTCATGCTGATCCACATCCTGTCTGCAGCCAAAAACAAACCATGGAATGAAACTGGCTGGATTTTTGACCATTTTGTTTGGTATAATTGGTAGAGCTAATTCAGATCGACTGCTTTCCCACCACCGTCCCAGGTTTAAATAACAGTTTTTACATTTCAAACAGCGTTAAAGTTAAGGCCTCTCCAGAGACTTAATGTTAGCCTTCTTTATTGATTCAGAAACTAGTTTTGCATGTGTGAGGAATTGTTTTGCCAGTAGAAGATCATATTTTTTGCAAGTTTTAACCATCTGATCCATTCTGTCACCCTCTGCTGAAATGATATCAGCTATAAAACTGCACCATGTGCCTGTAAAATACATAACACTGCCCCGTTAAGGGATGTGAATACTTTTAGAAGGCACTATCAATACTACAGATTCAAACAGAAACCCCTAAAACTTACAGAGAATGTAGTTTGTTGCTGGTAGTCACATTTCATCCTGGTTCTGGATGAAAGCAGGGTGAGATAACGCTGGACCTTGACCCGACCCTGAAAGCAGAACCAATCTGGTAAAACCTGTTGCTCAGACTGTGAATCTTCCAAAATCCACTCAATGCTTATTTTCCTTCCAGAGATTCAGTCTGATCGCTTGGAGTTGTTAGGATGTGTTTGTGCAAGAAAAAGAAGAAGAAGACATGACCAGATTTTTGAAAACATTTTATTTCAAGGACATCCAAAGCACATCTTCACAACAATGACTATCAGGTACTCAAGAAATTTGTGCGTAAAAGCCTTTATGATTAACAACCTTGGTTAATTTTCTCTGAATTGTTGGCTCCACTTGATCATGTTCAACCAATCGGCTTCTTTGCACTGAGGAAAAAATTACTTTTTCCAAAGCATAGAAGGCACAACCATCCGTCAGGAAAAGCTCTACTCTCACATTATGCACTAACGTGCTTTTTCAATAAAAGTCTCTGCCTTCATTATATGATGTCCTAAATTGACTTAATATATTTACACAATGGATGATTGTTGGATATGAGTACAAGAAGAGACAAAACATACAAATAACAATACAACAATACTGCCAGCACAAGTTAGCACTAGAATTTTTTTTTTCTTTTTGAATTTTTATTCACAGAAATTTAGTTTGAAAATCGTTGGGCTTCAAATGCACAACGAATGAGTTTAAAAGTCATTTGAACTGTGATTATAGCACTAATTGTCCTTTTCAGAGTGTCCCAGTTACATCTCCACAATAATCGTTTCTAAAAGCTCAAGTGGAAATATAAATGCAAAGGGATTTAGCCCAAGATCTCAATACCTCATCTGGTGTTCAGCCTGGAATGAGTCAAAGCTGAAGCCCACAATAACCCAGGAAGCAATGAGCTCACGGAAATTGTGGATTTGAAAAAAAATCATCTTTTCAAAAAACAAATCCATGTAAGAGACACAAATAAAGTTGAGCACACGCACACACAAAACAAACAGAGTGAAAGCACAAAGAGGTCAGAGGTTTTTTTGTTCCATGCTGGCTGAGTTTTTTCTGAGCTGCCAACCGTTTACATTCACTGTAGGAAACAGCAACAAGCCTAGTTTAAAAATCACACATAATATGCAGTATTAGACTTCACAAGATATACAGATGCTGATCCATCAGAATCACCATGTCCTCATGGGTGACAGCATTATATTAATTAGGGTTTTTTTGTTAATAATTTGAGCTGTTCTTTTACAGGGAAGCAAAGATTATACAACATACAATAGTGCTTGTTTTTTTGAATGTATTGTGAATTTTAACAACCCTGAGACTTCAGCTCAGTCTTTAACTCAACCAACCCAGAAATCCATTTTTACACAAAATGATGGCGTCTCAGCAGAGGTCACGCTCTTACACCATTGAATTTTGGAGTTGAAATAGAGAGTGTGAATAGATTACTGACCATCTGCAAAGGTGTTGTCAGCAGCCAAAGCAAAAGTCCTGCAGGACAGAGAGAGGTGTCAGAAGACAACTTGAAGGAGGCGAAACACCAAAACAAATGTGAACTTTTGTTTCTATAGGACTTTTTTCAATTGGCTTCAGCTAGTCTGAAAAATCCTGTGGCCTATATTCCCCAGTCAGGCATAAGATGTTGTGTGGTCTTTCAGTAGTCATCCAACAATTTGGTTAGTGTTTTGCAGGAAAGCAAATTTTACTTACCACCCACACATGCTGGTAAAAACCAGCTCCTTGTCCTACGCTATTAACTTTGTACAGGGGATCCGGGTTCTTGGTTATTGAGAAACTTCCTGGATTCATGGATTGTGTTGATGTTTTAAATTTTAACAAGCTATTAACGTTTGACCAAGATGGCTGTAATGCCGAAGTTTGACGCTATGAAGCTTACCAGAAATTGCTGCAACCATCCTGTACTGTGAAAAGAGAAGTGCCAAGCTGAACGGGGCGGCTGGTAACATCCATTCAACACTTGGAGATGTGATCAAAACTAACTGGACGATTTGGTTCACTTCCTCCGCTGCCATTCCTAAAACTACCGGCAGACTACGATTCCAAAACAGCGCAGAAAAATATCATTCACAACTTCTTCTGTTCACTGAGAAAAATCTACCACAGGGAATCCAAGTGAATGCCAGAAGTAAAATGGCCAGCCTACCATCAGCAACTTCTGGTCTAATTCTGGCTCAATATTGGGCCCATGTTTTAATTAGAAGAGAGAAAGATAATGCCAATTGGTTGATTCTCCTGGAAAGAAACTGTCATTTCAGCTGGTTGATTCTTTGTCAGGACAGGGTACATGATTTGGGGATGAGGTGAATGTTTGCCTGTTTTTATCTGGGTTTGGGATCACTTTCTATTCTTTTACCTACTTTGTGCTCATAGGTTTGAAAGCCTCACCTAGATTTTTCCAAAGTTTCTCTTTATCATTTGAATTTGAAGGTGCTAGTTTTGAAGCAGACACTTCTTGGTTGGCATAAACTCACTGCAACTGTGGACAACCACACTGACAGGCATGAATCTTAACGATTAATATATCCTTACCTGTTTCCTCTCTGCAGAAGGTGATAATTTGGGTCAAATAGTTGAAACTTTGACAAAGCAGGATGCTGTAAAATGACAATGATCCTGACACATGTGGACTTTGCATAAAGGCTTTGTGGCAGGAAACCAATCAGCTGAAAATGAGTGATTGATATCAGAGACATGTGGTCAGGGGAAGCAGCTGAGCCAGAGCCTCACCTGTCATCATGGAAGAATAATATAATGATAAGACATTATATAATGACATAATGATGAAACACATAACTCACAATAAGTTGTAATTTGTGGAACTAATGAAGTTGCATGTTGTATAATCACTTCTTTGTAGAAAAAGGAAAGTTAAATTCATAACTTACTGCCCAAACTGAATGAGATATTAATGATCTTGTTGAAAGGATGTTCATTTTGATCATAACTGTGTAGTAAATGATAAGAAATTGGTGTGACCATTAAATACAAAAATCCACAAAGTACAAATGAAAACATTGGTGTTAGTTATATGAAATACGTTGTACGGATCCTATTTTCTGAATGTAAAAGGCATTTGGCTCTGGTAAGCATGGACATGGTTCCAAGCTAAAAGAGTCCTTGACACAAAGCACTCGCAAAAAAAAAAAAAAAAAAAAAAAAAATGTGTGAATGTTTCTGCCTTCCTTTAGAAGCTGAGATGATTACTGAGAGCTGATGAAAAGGCACTTATGTCAGAGGGAGGCTTAATGAAGAGTTGGGCTTGGTAAACAAAACTCTTCAACAGTTTGTCACACAATGAGAAGAAGAAGTGCGGCAGTTTGTTTAAAGTGAGCTTGCAGGAAAAAGAAAAAACATCTTTTCGGTTTGATATCTGAAACAGCAAGTCCAGCCTCTCTGCTGACCCACTCTGGGACCCACAGTCCACTCACTGTCGTTCCAGTGGAGCAACGGAGTCAGAGGAGGAGGCGGTGGTCAGGGCCGTGGTAGTGGGAGGGTCGGGTGCCTCAGAAGTGATGAAGGAGTTTCCGGCCGCAGTAGCGGCTGTTCCCGGGAACGAGGAGGAAAGCTGGTACTTTGGAGTGGAGCGGTTCAGGTCGGCAGCTGAGTGGGGGCTAAAACTGTCAGTGGGGTGGGGTGAGATCTGGAGCACAGCGAGGAGAAAAGGTTAGAGAAATGCATAAAAAATTATCGCTGATGTACTGAGAGAAAATAAAGGAGTTTGTAGTTTCGTTAGGTAAAATTACTGAGGAGACGATGCCTTGAAAAAGTCTTGACACTTTTTCATCTTGTCTCATATTGAAATCACAAGCTTTATTTTTAGCTTTGTGGGATTTTACATGTTAGAACAACAAAATGTAGGTTCAATGAAAAAAAAGATGTGGTTTTGAAGATTTTGTCAGTCTGAAAAAATGTAGCTTCATAGTTTTGCAGTGTTTTGTGTTGGTCTGTCTCATAAAGTCCTAATTGAAAACAATACAGTATATAGTTGTGTCAAGTGTGAAAAGTGGGAAAGTTTGAGACGCTAAAACACTTTCACACAAATCTAAACATCAGCAACTAAATGTCTGAATTTGTGACTTATGTTTTCATAAGCCTGAACCAGCTGATGTAGCATGAAGGGAGTCTCAGAGCCACTATGGCGGATTTACAGCTCTTCTTATTGGACTTGATGAAGCTGCCTGAGCCAAACTGTTTCCTTTCAGTTCTTCGTTCTTAAAAGCCAATAATGTAATTGTTCTGCATGATACTAGACAACGTTCACAATCTGTACATTAAGGACCCATTTGTTTTCCTGCTTCTCCTTTATATGCACCAAACATCTTCATTTTCACATTACCTCCCACAAAACGCGACCTACATAACGAGGTTACCTGGCTGCTCTGTGCGTCGTGATAGACCTCGTTACGAGGGGAGAGCAGGATGCAGTCCTGCGCCGTAGTTTTCTCTGTGCGTGGAGCGCTGGGGTCACCGTCGTCGACACCATTGGCGGCACACCTCATACCCTTAACACAGAGCACCTGTAGGGTCAAAAGAGCAGCTTTAAAGGTTATCTAGAAAGATTATACATCCACATGAGAGATTTCCAGGAACTGGAACTGTAATTTTTTTCTCATTTCCGTGGCTTGGTGTCAGGGTTCTTGCTTTCTGCGATACTCACCAAATTTACAGGTCAAATGGAAACCTCTAGAGTCGAGAGACTGGCTGGGTTTGGCGCGTGGGCATTGGCAAATATGCTGAAGTCCATGATCATTAAAAATGTACAAAAATGAAACCAAAAGCTTGAGATACACTCTCTACGTGTAACAAATCACAATAAAATGACAGTTTGAGAAATACTGCACTATTACAATGTCTGTTTCCTTACCTAAATCCCTACATTATAAAACAGAAAAACATAAAATATGGGATCTGCCAAAATGTAATTAATGGCATGTTGACAAAAAGGCACACCACAAAATTTAAGGCCCCGTCTCAATCTGCACTCACCACACAACCTCAAAAGTGTCATAGATACTTTATAAATAGGTCAGAAATCATGAATGTAACAAAATGTGCTGCATTTTTAATTGTTCAAACCAACTGAGAGTGGGACCTGCCTAAAGAAGAAACACGTGGATCATCTGGTAAGGAATAAAGAAAGGCAGGAGTGATGGGAAAACCAAGACTGTAACCAAAGAAAGAGCACAAGAGAGTGAAGCAGGAAACAAGGCGAGTAATGGAAACAACACAAACAAGCAGAAAGAAAAGTCGGACTATTGAACAACATGGCATGGTAATTTCGAGAACCTCATCAATTTTGTGGTTCGGTTTTAAGGCTGGAGGATTTTCAGCAGACCTTTCTGAAGCTTTGCTTGAAGTTATCGGACAGAAAGCCGTAGAGCAGCGGGTTCGCACAGGAGTTGGCGTAGGACAGGACGACAGCGAAGAAGTAGATCCCGGCAGTGACACTGGACTCGGGGATGATGACCACCAGGTTGACCATGTTGGTGATGTAGAACGGCAGCCAGCAGAGCACGAACACCACCACGATGACCACCACCATGCGCGTCACCTTTCGCTCTGAACGCCGGCGGTTAATGAAGCCCACCCTGGCCCCGGACGACTTCACCTGCATAATATTTAATGCCTCTTCAACGCCAGAAGGGACGTCTGACAGGTAGGAAGTATAAACGTACCTTAATAACAATGAGCAGGTAACAGAGGCAGATGATGAGCAGCGGCCCAAAGAAACCCACTGTGGCAGTGTAAATAATGAAGGCCGTCGACCAAACATCCTTTGGCTCCGGCCAGTTCATGTTGCAGGAGTTAAACATGTCCTGAGTGACATTAGAGGAAAAAAAGATCTTTTTAAAACAGATTGGTTTGAGCTTGGAAGTAAAGATTGAAGAATCAGTTTATTATTATAGAAGGTTTTTCTTGTTTTAACAGGAAGTATATATTGTGGCTTTTTTTAGCGTTTTGAGATTAAATTTAGAACTAATATTTTGCTCGTTCTTTGCCACGTCTGTTTTGCGCATTGTCACAGAAGTTCCCATCTTATTGTGTTTAATCAGCTTCTTTGGCAGTCGACCCTGTCTTTGTCACACCTGAACTGTAAGCAGCACACCTGTTCCTCCGCCCCATTATGATCCTGTTTTCACTCATAATAGTGGTGCCCAAAGTGTGTCCTCGAGACCCAGCATCCTACATGTTCAGTTCTCTCCCTGGTTTATCGGACCTGGATCCAATGATGGTTCATTAGGAGGCCTAAGAAGAACATCGACATTCAGAAAAGGTTGTTGTTGCAACCAGGGAGAGAACTGAAACATGCAGGATGTCGGCTCCCGAGGACACACTGTCTCATCACATTAGTGCTGTCTTGAAAGCCAATGTGAGTTTTCTTATTTGAGAAATTGACTCATTGAAGATCATGTGATCTGACTTGTAAAATGCATCTCATTCCAGATATGATTGTGATGCAACTAAGATAAGAACCGGTTAAATAAATGGGATTTTGAAAAAAACAACAACAACAAAAAAAACCCCCCAATATTAAATACCTAAGAAGTCAAGAAACTTTTATGTTAACTATTTTATTCCTCTTTAACTGGTCAGCTGATCATTCAGTGCATGGAGAAGATTTATTTCTCCATGACAAACTGAAGTCAAACAACTCAAGGTTAACTTTATATAAAACTACATCAACAGTTTGGACAACAGCAGAACCAACAGCACAGGAGAAAATTACTGACCGCCAGCTAAAAATCCGGATTAGTTTCTACATCTTCATTAATTCAGAAGGACACTGATACAACTATTCAGAAAAAACAGAATGAAGATGTGATTATATAACAGAAGTTAACATAACTGGATGAATTTGTAAAATCACACCAAACGTGCGTTAAAATGCAAGTTGGAAAAAAGAAACTGAAAATTGAATTTCAAACTAATTTTTATGCTGATGGAGAAGCTGCAGGAAACAATGAAGGTTCTGGATTTAGAGGAACCAACAGTTTCTGAACACCTCAGCTTTTCATGCAGTTCGTTTTGGGCTCAGCAGGTTAAAGGCTTGATTTGTAACTGAGCAGAGGTTGCTGGTTCAAATCCCTGCTCTGTCTGTGTCACTGTGTCCTTGGACAAGATGGGCAAGTTAACTTCCATAGGTTTCACACTTTATTACCATGGAGAAATGTGTGCAAAACACAGGAGGCCACATGTTTTGTTGACATGTGACACCCTGTGTGTTTTGTTTTCCATAAGGGAAATTATAAACACATTGAAACACACAGCTCTAGATAAAAACAGTATATAGCACAAAAACTAACTTAAAAACAACTAATATGAAAGTAGGTCACAATTGATCTGGTTAAAAAAAACACAATACAAATGGAGACTGTGGTCTTATCACTCTTAGTTGTAGATTTTCAGGCTAAAAAATTGTCATATATACACACACTTAATTATTTTCTCCAGTTTTTTTTGACACTTTGATTTTGTCTTAGCTGTGTTGGATCCACTGCAGCAAGTCTACCTCAGGCTAACCATCTCCACTTCAACATTTGTCCCACCCACTAACTTTGATCTGCAAGGCTGGCACAAAAAAACAGACACTCCTGATGCGCCCTAGCGCCCCCTGTGGACAGATAATGAAATGCTTTTGTCTGTACAAAAACCCATATCAATCAACGAGATACTTTATAAATAATTTATGTTTTATGACGAACCTTTCAGTAGTTACTGACACAATAAAGTATCTTCAATCTATTCATTTATTTGTTTTTTTATTTGTTGCACTTTCAATAAATGTTGTCTTCCAACTGAATGTGTTTAGTTGATATTTAATGATGATGATTTATTTATCTTCAAATGAAATGAAGATATGGCCTAAAGATATACCTGCACATCAGAGAAGATGACCACCGGCAGGACCACGATGAAGGACACGGCCCACACCGCTGCGCTCACCACCTTGGCCACGCGGGGGTGTCTCCATTTGGTGCTGCGGATCGGATGGACCACGGCCAGATAACGATCCATGGACATGACCGTGAGGCAGAAGATGGACGTGAACTGGTTCATGGAGTCCGCAGTCATCACCACACGACAGAGGAACGAGCCGAAGGGCCAGTACGAGAGCACGTTCTGCGTGGTGAGGAAGGGCAGTCCGATGATGTAGAGTTCATCGGCCACCGCCAGGTTCAGGATGTAGATGTTGGTGACGGTCTTCATCTTGGCGTAGCGCAGCACCACGTAAATGGCCAGTGTGTTGCCGGCCAGACCCACCAAGAAGACAGTGAAGTAGATAATAGCGGTGACCGGGGCGCTGCTGCCCTGGAAGGGGACACTCTGCGTGGACACGTTGGAGGAGACGTTCAGGAGACGAGGGGAGGGAAAGAGAAAGGATGAGCCAGCGGCTGCAGAGGAGTTGGGTTCTGGAGGGAGTGGATACCAGGACGGGTCCGGAGGGTCCATTGTGTACGATCCACATGCAGTTCTGATTCCGAAAACAGACTGCAGTGGTCTCGTTTCAGAGCAAAACAGAGCTGCGACAGTGAAGTGCGACTTTCTGCTTTTCTTATGTGAAGTCGATTGAAAAAAAGAGCTTTTCACCCACATATAACTGAGCTTAGACTAGAGACAATTAGATCTCACACGAGAGGTTGGTGTGGTTGGAAAAGCTTCACCTCAGCCTCTTTCATATATTTTTAAAATCTGATTTCCAAATAACTAAGCGAGCCGAACAAGTGCGCCGCGCGCCAAAGCCCAATGGCACCGAGCGGTTGACCGCTTTTACGCACAGCGCATCTGCTTGGATTTACATTTATATATCTGGATTCTTCAATAGGAGTTTCACAGGATAAATTATGTCATATAAACCCTTGCTAAAGCTACTCCTTTTTTATTTATATAATGGCGGAATACGATATTTAAGAGACATTTAACGAGTAAAAATGTACAAAGTCAGAGTTCGTCTTACATTGAAAAAAGGCTGAAGAAAAAAAATCATCAAAAATTCTTCGTTAGTCCAAGAAAAAGCCTCTTTACCTTCGAGACATTCTGAGGATTTTCCCACTGACAGAAAATGACGGCGCCGTTCGCTGTCCGTGGTGCTGAGCTGCAGCTGCGCCGCATCTCCTTTAACTTTGGGCTCAAAGCTGTTCTCCTCCTTCTCCTTCATGTGATTTGATCAGAGAGAGAAAGAGAAAGAAAGAGAGGGATTCAGACAGACTCCGTAATGAAGCAATGAAGTTCAATTTTTAATCTCTCTCTGCTTTAATAAGAAGGACTATGGCATCTTGCAGCAACTGTTGAGATTTTATTTCTCGCAGCACAAAGCGCTCTTGGTTCTTTTTCATTTTGTCAGATTGCAAACTTTTTATTTAGTGACACAAAGTAGTGCATCGTTTTTAAAACAAAGGGAAAACAGAATTGGAAGATACTTTTAGATTCAAAGCAGAACATGTAGAGTATATTTGCATTTATTTGTTTTGTTGTACCATCTTTTGTGGGTATGAGTATTAAGTATTAAAGCTCTTCCAGATTTGCGCATAATGACAGATCCTTCTCCCAAATATCTCACGCTCAGTCCGATAAGAAGAAGAATGTGCATGAAGGTCATTTGAGGTCAACAGAACAGAGTTAAAGCAAGAAAAGGAGAGGAGCTTAAATACTGGGAGTCTTGATTATTGGATAAGAAACGGGTTGGTTGGATCTGGTTGCTGGTGTGAAGGAACAGTGACTAGAGGGGAGAAAACACTCAACACCAACAATACACTCAAAAATGATAGAGAACACAAGCGAGAAGAATCAAGGGACCTAAATATGAAGGAATGGACTGACCTGGCAACATCTAGCATGATTAAATAAACAAGAAAAAAATAAAATCAAAATATGAACACAGAAGAAGAAAAAACACACACCAGAATTGTTAAAGTATTATTTCTCCAAAATGGCCACTGAAAAGAAAGCATATCTTCAAAATGACTGACAGCCGGAGCTTAAGCTGTCAGGAGTAATGGTGCATTTGCAAATTTTCACATTTTATCCAATATCACTAACACAACATGAAAGTGAACATAATCGGGTGTTATTTGAATTCTGGGAAGAGATTTTTTATTATTTTTTTCCCCCAGCCTTCATTTCATTATCACAAACTCACAGCTATGAGGAGAACAGAAGCTCTGCAAGTGGGCAGCAGCCTTCATCTTGTTTCCATCCATCAGAGCAACTTTTCACCAAACAAATAAATAACTAAGAAGTGATTTAATGTGGCATTTGATGGACATGCTTACCTCTGTGCCTAAAACTGACGAGAAACAACCACAGGCAGAGTTTTTAATTTTTATGAAGGAAGCGTCAAATTTAGCAACATAATCACTTGATCAGTTTTGTTCTTAGAAAACAGATGGAGGTCTCAAAAGGAATTATACCTGAATGTTCACCCTTTGCATAATAAGGGAAGTAACTTAATTCAAGTTTGACTTCATCCAAAAACAGGTGATGTGGTTCGTAACGTAGGGTTTCAACATCAATACAAGCCAACGACAAAGTAGCAGATCTGAGTTTCACTGACTCTGACCTTTCAGTTCAGACACATTTCCCTCATGAGTTGAGGTTTGCAGCTGTAAATTGCCCACTCACACAATGTCCTCATCTCTTCTCTGTAATTTTAAAAGCATTTAAGATGTGCCAGTCAAGAAGCACATTTCCACTCAATTTCAGACAGGTCTGTGCGTCACTTTTTGTTTCGATTGTCAGTTCACCTGTCTAAGAGATTGGATCGCTCCACTCAGGCAGCGGACCTTTGGCAGAGAAAATAAAAGGATGAAGGGAGGCGGCTGAGGCGCTGCAATGCATTAAGTTTCATTGGCAGAAAGATCCCTGGATTTGGATTAATAAAGTTGCAAACGGAAACTTTAGAGGAGAAAAAACTCACAATGTTTTTAAATGAGATTTTCAGATATTTCTCAAAGACTCTGACATTCAATCATCATGTGCATCTAAGAAGCTGGAATAATTAGAAACCTTTCAAAAATGAAAGCGTGCTCTAATTGACTCTACAGTTCATGGTTCACATTTACGCACTTGTTGAATAATTTCCTGACCAAGAAAAACGACGCAGAAACAAATATGCGGTAAATTTGATCTTTCTCCTGCTTATTAAGCTGCTGTTTGAGAGCTCCTGGTCCAATCAAGCTGTTTTCTCAGGAAGAGGGCTCTTCTCAGTTGTCATGGAAGTCTAGATCGCACGTTTGTGAGCATTTGTGCTCTGGAGAGTGTTCATGCGAAGAAAAGGCAGATGGCAAATAAAAGACATCACAACAAATCACTTTTTGCGTCTCTCTTTTGTTCATACCTTAAATCCCTTTCAGAGCATGTTGAGTAACACAGCGATAAAAGACAATGAAGTACATGTGACCTTCAAGGGAGGCAACAGTGAGGGAGTTACTAAATGACATTTCTGGCACTGTTGCATGGGAAGAACAGAAATGTATTCATGTAAACAGAGAGAGCTAGAAAGGAGGCCGCAGTCAGGATTGTTTGGCAGCCTCTCGCTGCAGATTATTGCTTCTGTGTTTACTCTCTGTTGTGTCAGTTTATCAAAGAGGCTTCACTCGTCATCCGTCACACACATCCGCAGCATCGATTCCAACTCTGCAGCCCTCGGACCTTTCAAAGCTTCGTGAGTCGTCATGCTTTGTCTTTTTGCAGTCGTTTGCGTTTTACTTTTGTGAATTTGTCTCCAATTTCTCAGTTGGTAGTCGCGCTCATGCAGAGCAATCATGCGTCACATAAAAACAGCAATCGCCCAAAACAGAACAAAACCGTCCTGTCTGTGAAGTGGAAGGCAGAAGGACTAAGGCGGCATTGATTAGTCGCAAATACTTCCACACTTCCAGAACCTGCAATTTACATTTTACTTATCTACTTTTCAGCACCTCAGATAGACGTTCATTAATGCATGTTTTTGTCAGTGTGGAGTGCCTTAAATTTCTCCACAGGGCACACAAAAAGATTTAAAATCAAATAAACTAAACCAAAAGCAGTCCTGTTGAAAGCTCTGCTTTTACAGAAATAATCACACTGACAGGTAGAGTGGATACTCAATATACACAACCCTTTTTAGGCCAAACTCTTATTTTTGTTTCATTCTGGCATTCAAAACTCTTGGATAAACACCTGCCGCCAGTTTTAGTTAATCAGTTCGAATGTAAATAAAGTTCAATTGCCCTGTAGGATCATATTTCACAGAATAATTACCCTGTTGAATTAAAACATGAATAAAACACAGAACAGATGAAGTCTTAGTGTTTGTCTCTGCTGATTAAAACAGGAGATAACGACATGAAAGACAGAAAGAAAGAAAGAAAGAAAGTGAAAGAAAGAAAGAAGAGAAAGAAAGAAAAAAAAGGCCAGTTTCTGCACAAATGAGTCAAGCATGTGTAGAATTTAAACTCAATATGAGGGCAGAGAAGGCCACATTACAAAACGTGATTAAATTGTTAAATACTTGTATTTATAACTAACTAACTAACTAACTAACTAACTAACTAACTAACTAACTAACTAACTAACTAACTAACTAACTAACTAACTAACTAACTGTTATTTCAGTTACATAATACTACCCCTTTAAGAGATGTCGTCAACTCAGGAAAATCCAACAGAAAAACCCACAGAATCATCAAATTCTGTGGGTTTCTGGTCCACTTGACTGAATATTGTAAAATTGTTTTTACTCACTGTCAGTTTTGCTCCAGTTGTCTCAGCTTTAAAGCTCCAGGCAGCTTCACTGATGTTGAGCCTCCATGCGTCTAGGTGGTAGAAACCAGAACCCAGTAAAGAACAAGATGGCTTTCCATACTTTCTTAAAGCTCAACTCCAAAGTGTAAGTGAGGAAACATAAGTAGCAATCTGTGTTTCGAAAAGGCACGTAAAATGAAGATCGACTCTTCCTGTTATGTTTTTAAATTAGTTCATCAAGAACTCTTCAGTCTTTTGGGAATTCCTTGGTTGTGTTTTTTAGTCTGAAAAAAAAAACAGTTTTGTTTTGTTTAGATCTCCTGTCAAGGTCGTTCAAAGTACGATGTTTGGACATGAAAGGTTAGCACACCATGCGGGCGACAGGGACGGGCTTGAAGCCCGGTAATTGCCTTCCCATCTTTTGGAGCACGGAGATTTTTTCCAATCATGGCTGGTCTTGTCATATCAGCAGCTTCAAAGATTAGATATTTGGTCCCTCAGGACTTCATCTGAGGTTAGATTCCCTTTACACTTCATCTCCCCTTTAATTGCTGTTAGTTTTTGGTTTCAAGATGAAATTCCCTAGACTTTACGTTTTGCTTTTTTTTGGTTTGCCATGTAATAGCTTACAAAAATATCTTGTCGTGTTTTGAAATATATAATAACCAAAATAGTTATTTTTTTAATCATTGATGGTTAATTATGAGAAAATTATTTAGTTTGGTAGAGCTGCCGCCTCAAAGAAGCTTGTTTTCAATAATCCACAAGAGGGCCGTGGGGTAGACAGCGTAACACTGTTCGGCAAAATATAGCAAAACAAAATCTTCATTGTACAGCAGTTAGGTTCTTGTGATTGCTGAGCAGCTTTCTGCACGTCTCCACTGGTATTTGTAACAACATCTGATGATAAGTTACAAGTTTCAGAGGTGGGAAGGCTTCTCTGCTATCAATCTAATCCCCAGATTATTTGAGAGATTAAAGTCTGGACTATTTTTGGCTACCACTTCCAGTAAGAAGAAACATGTCAGTGCAATTATAAAATCACTTCACAACTAAAATCTTCCAGATTCGCAGCCCTCAATCCTTCTCCACCAGACCTGATGTGCTTCTTGCAGCCTGTGAAACACTGAACCACAGTTGGAATCCACACAACGCACACGAGGGAAAAGCTAAAAGCCACGTTGTCAACTTGTCTTCCCCGGCTGTCCATTAGAGCTGTCAGATGTTTAATTATGAATATATGGGCTTTTCTGGATCTCCTCCAGGGAACAATGATAACAACACGTCAAGCACAGTTGAAATTAAATGCCGCAGGTAACAAGAAATAAACCAGAGTGTTTGTCTGAAGAATGTTTAATCAACTAGAGTGGATGAAAGCCTGGACACACAGAAATGAGCTATGTGAAGTCAATTATGTCAGCAAATTGGAGAAAATTAAGAACTCAAGATGAATAAAGAAAAAGACTTTATTCATCAATTTCTGCAAACTTTTATGGTGCGCCACGCATGAAGCCCCATGAAGCTTTTTGTTTGTTTTTTAAACATTAAATTTTCTGAAAGTGTTGTTTATATATTTTTTCACCTGCTTAGCATGTGATAGTTTGTTTACAGTAACAAATGTGATGCAAAATATTACATGAAATCCCTCACCTAGTGGCCTTCATGTCTGCGGTGGATTGTTTTTATGGAAAGTTTTGGGGGGTTTTCAGTTTTGTTTTTGGTGAAATTTCTAACTTTCATAAACATAATAAAAAGCATTATTATAATCAGTATAGTCCGGGTTGTGTCTTACGAAGAATATCTCACCATGATATTTTGGGTTATCATTTGCAGCACTCACCCATTTTAGTCGGGTCAAGTTTTGCCCTCTTTAATTCCAGTTGTGAGTTGCAGAAAATCAACAAAAGTCCAGCAAATGACCTGTGGGCTCCACTTTGCACATCCCTCATTTCAGAACTAAATGAGAAATAAAATATTCTTACTGATGCTCCAAAGGACAAAGAAATGACACAAAATGTCACATGTTGTTTTCCCCATTGGGTTTTTCATTGGTTTTTAAAAACAGCCTGAAACACACAGCAGGTTAAGTTGAATTAAAACATTGTTATGTCAGTTGTTATGTGTGCTTTACTTGTGTTACCCTGAGATTCCAGTTCAGTTATAGAGAACAAGAGAATAGGCTGCAACCTTGAGAACAAAGAAAGCTTTTCAGCCTAACGTTAAAAATAAGTCGGTGTTAGAAAAACTGCCAACCAGAATCACTTGAAGGACCTCGTTTCATAACAACTCAAAAACTCTGAATGTATCGAGCATTGAAAATGTTCAACATCTTTTTGACAGTGTAATTATATCTTATAAATTCATTCATGACATGTAAAGCCTGATCTATAAAGATCTTCTGGCTGTCATTGCAGATAGTGTCCATAGTGTACTGTCTACAATAATAATAATAATAATAATAATAATAATAATAATAATAATAATAATAATAATAATAATAATAAAGCAATACACTTCATTGAATTAAGTAGACATAGCACAACAGTCAAAAATCAATCAAAATCAATCTCTAAACAGCTATAATTATGTGTCCACGCTAATGTCACCTTCAATTTCTGTGACAAAGAAATAAGTGATATTGATATTACCAAATTTTATAGGTCCACCTGTAAAAACTTATTACAACATGAATGTGTTTCATCAGCCTGAAATGTTTGCACTTTTGGACATGTGTTTTTGTTTTATCTTCGATTTCGCTTTGCCTTCATGGTGGTTTGTGGGCTCTAGATGAGCCAGAGATCAAAATCAATATTTTTAAAAAGCCAGATTACAGTTTGATAATACATTTAAGGACAAAGACCATAATCAATCAATCAATCAATCAATCAATCAATCAATCAATCAATCAATCAATCAATCAATCAATCAATCAATCAATCAATCAATCAATCAATCAATCAATCACATTTTATTTGTATAGCACATTTCCGTAACAAGGCATTTCAAAGCGCTTTACATCATAAAAACACAAAGTCATGCAACATAGACTCAACAATCAAAACATGAAGTCAAGTTCCACCATTAAATTTGTAATTGATTAAGTTTTAAATCCATCTCTAACCAGCTGGGTTTTTAGTCAAGATTTAAAGGAAGTCAGTGTTTCAGCAGTTTTGCAGTTTTCTGTAAGTTTGCTCCAGATGTGTGGTGCATAGAAGCTGAATTCTGCTTCTTGTTTGGTTCTGGTTCTGGGGATGCAGAGCAGAACCAGAACCAGAAGACCTGAGAGGTCTGGACGGTTGATACAACAACAACAGATCTTTAATGTATTGTGGTGCTCACTGTCCAGTGATTTATAAAATAACAGTATTTAAAGTCTATACTTTGAGCTACAGGGAGCCAGTGAAGGACTTTAAAACTGGTGTTATGTCTCTATCTTCCTGGTTTCAATGAGAACGAGAGCAGCAGCTTCTGGATCAGCTGCAGCTGTTTGACTGATTTGTTGGACAGACTTGTGAAGACGCTGTCGCAGTAATTGATGCGACTAAATGCATGGATGAATTTCTCTAGAAAAAGAAGGGTGGGGGTTTACTTTCAACCCTCATATCATATCAGAAAGTATGGTGGTGGCAGTATCATGCTGTGGAGTTGTTTTAATGCAGGAGGAACTGGAGCATTACATTGAGTAGCATCACAAGGAAAGAACATTATGCAGAAACATTAAAACAGCATCTAAGGACTAGGTTCCAATAACTCCAGCCCTCCTCTTTCTTTGAAAGTTTTTATAAATTTAAGAAGTATACCCAACGTTACGGATTGCCAGTAAAAATCTAAACAAAACTAAAATAAATCATTCTACTTGTCTTTTCAAATTTTCACCAGGCAGCCAGAGGATGACAATCTTTTTTAAAGAAGCCATGTTTCTGACCTACTTCCTCCCACCTGTTGCTCCACCTTCACTCTGGCAGAGTTGGTTTCACATCTAATCGCTGTACATTGTCAGATGACGAAGACGGTGTAGCTGTTGTACATCTCCCTGGTCGGATTTCAAGGCATTCAGCAAATCCTTATGTAGGTGAGAAAATCTAAAACATATACATCTAGTGAAGAAAATTTGAAGTATTATTAAAATCTCAATAATACATTATGTTGCCTTTTTAATGTCAGATTCCTATGAAAAGCACAGACTTGATCAGTTTCTCAGTAAAGCTGAAACCATCCGGTTTTACTGGTTTCTTTCTGTGTTTATTACAAAATACAGGTTCTTCGCTTGGCTTAGTATGCGCTCCAGTGAGAATTGTTTTTCAGAGACTTTATAAAAACAGCAACCTATAAGCAAGTATGATTTTTTTTTATTAAACCCACATTAGTGTATCAAAAATGCTTTTGTTTTTTTCTAAAGTAATGTTCTTAGATTAAAGAAGAATCTAAGAATAGATTCTTCAATGTTTAAACAAAAAGTGACGTCATTTGTTTTATCAGCGCTAAGCAGAAATAATTCAATATAATAAACAGAAATAAAGCTTCAAGAATATCTGTCTGCATTTATCAGTTTCACTTGAAAGAAATACTAAAAATGTTGAATTTTCTATAATATTTAGATTCCCTCAGAAGAACCTGCTAATGGAGTTTACAGGTAATACAGAGTAAAAGCAAGTTTATGTTTCTCACAAACATGATGGTGGAACGTGTGTCAGTCATTTCAGGTGTCATATTGAAAGAGCAAAGGCTATTTTTTAGCTTTGGAACCAAGTTAATGTGGCAAACAAAAGCCTTTTTTAGTCTGGCGAAGCGTTGGGAGTAGTGTGTAACAGATGGCAATGTTTAAAGAAAAGGTGACTTCTTTTTATGTGGACTGGTTCAAAAAGGCCAGCAATCTTCGTCTATTTGGTTTCTTTTCAGATGCATTCCTTTTTATTACCAGTAAATCTCATCACTATGTACTTACTTTGGGTAAAACAGGTAAAACTGCTCCGAACCAGTTTGAGAAGCAAGATGCTGGCATGCTGACAAGATGCTTGTTCCAACCTGACAGACGACTTTTTGTGCATTCTTTTCTTCCCCCTTCGGCACTTGACAAGCTTGGTGTCACATTTTAGTTCCTCACTTAAAGGCATCAGAAGAACTGATGGAGACGTTTCATATTTTACAGCGTTGCTATCATGATTTTATTTTATTTTTTACTTTTTTAACAGATAAAATGGAAGGTGTTCAACCTCCTCCGTATACTGCAGCTACTTCATATCCTGGTCCACCACTGGGGTACGGCGCGGCGCCCCAGCTTGTTGCCCAGCAATATGCCCAGCCTGTTGCACAGCAATATGCCCAGCCTGTTGCCCAGCAATATGCCCAGCCTGTTGCCCAGCAATATGCCCAGCCTGTTGCACAGCAATATGCCCAGCCTGTTGCACAGCAATATGCCCAGCCTGTTGCACAGCAATATGCCCAACCTGCTCCTCAGACAAATATCCAGCTTGGTAAGAGATCAGAGGGCATTTCACCATAATTTCACCACTTTTCCTCCAATCATTGTCTCTTTTCCAAATCTTGACCAGTTTGTAATTCGTTCAATTAACTCCAAGTTCAATGTTTTTACACGTCTAGTTCATCAAACAGTCATAAATCAAAATCAGAAGACTGAACCTGGTGAGTTGCTTTCTCAGTTTATGTCTTACTATTGAAAATGAGTCTGAAGTTTAAAAATATATAGAAAGGAGTTCAAAAGTTAACAAAGTGTTATTGACAGAAAACCCTGTGGTGGTGCAACCGAGACTAACTGAGACTGCTGGAAACAAGACGTGTCCGTTTTGCAAGAAACAAGTTATGACCGTAACTGAATACAAATTGGGCACGCTCACTTGGGTCGTCTTTGGGACACTGTTTATTTTTGGGTGAGTAAAAAGTTCAAATATTGAACTATTCTTTGTTTCAGTTCATCATTGAGAGGTTTGACAAACAACGGGTTTGGTGTTAAGGTCCATTGCTGCTCCCTTGCAGCCACAGCAGGACGGTTATATCTCAAACTGCGTCAGTTTGACAGCTTTTATAATAACAGGGGGAAACTGAGAGAGAAAGAAATAACAAATTAGTGTAACCAAATGTGCTGAACTGACAAATCAAGAGAAATTCAGATAAAGCCAGTGATTCACTTCCTTTTAGTTTTGCAAATTTCTTCAGTTGAATTTCTGTATTTGCATTTATGCTCTAATATTAATTATTTGCAAAAGTACTAAAAAGTTTATTGTTGCCGCTGTTTCATAGCAGATAAGGACACAGTCAGCTGTGGTTGAATAGTTGTAACTGAGAGACAGGATGTCCTCATTCCTACTCTGACATCCCTGTCAGAGTAGGAATGAGGAAGAAGAGGAAGAAACAGATGTGGAGGGAGAGGGAAAAAAAGACAGAAAAGGAGAAACAGGAACCATTATCTGATATCCGATTTTTGCACAAAATGAATACAGATACAGATAATACAGAATACAGATAAAGACTGCACAGCTTCGAATTAGTTAATTTTTTAAGAGTCAAACGGTCTCACTATTATTGTTCTCTTTTTATTTATATTTCTTGTCCAGGATTTGGCCTTTCTGTTTGATCCCGTTCTGTGTGGGTTCCTGCAAGGATGTGCAGCATACCTGCCCGCAGTGCAACAACATTCTGCACGTCTACCGCCGCATGGGTTGAACTGCAGTGGTCAATCCTGCAGCTATTGAAATTTATGAAGTTATGATATATATCCAGCATATATGTGTGTGTGTGTGATGCATTTTTGTCATTGTCTTCTGTTTATGTAGCCAAAGAAACTACTGCTTATTTAAATTGATGTTCAAGTTCTTGAATTAACAGGATTAATATATAAAACACCCCTAGTCCAAAACTAGGTTCTGCCTTTGGTCAGACTCTTGCCTTGGGTGTTTTTAATAAAGATAATGTTGTTCATCATCACATAAGAAATTGTTTCTTTAAGTAGAAGAAACAAAACTGTGACAGGTCAAAAAGACAGTTTACCTGGAAAGACCTGTTTGTGTGTGTGTGTGTGTGTGTGTGTGTGTGTGTGTGTGTGCGTATGTGGGTGGGTATGTGGGCTTGTATTTGATACATTGTTGGGTCAATTTTACCATAAAAATGCTACATTACTTTATACCATTAAATGTAATGACATAATAAACATAATAAAATGTCATAAATTCCCACACTCTCAGTTAATTGCTGTGGCATGACTGGCAGACATCGGCTCGATTCTGTTATGCGATTTAAAAAATAGATTAATTTGGAGCATCATGATGCACAGGGCTACATATTGTCACTGGAAGGAGACAGAGTCACTCTGATTAACTGAAGATGTAAAACTGGTATGTACAAAACTGCCACCAGGCAGAGGCAAATAAATAGATTATATTGTCATCAGTGATCAGTATAGAGTTTTTGTTTTCATATCCCCAAACTACAGTTTATTTCATTCAATGTTTAGCCATAGGAAAAATCATGTCAGCAACATGTTAAAGAGGAAAAATAAAGAGTGAAAATGAATAGTGGTATGTTTTTTCAGGCATCTAAAATGTGACATCATGGCTGGATGTCACCATCAAGTGGCCAGATGAAAGGATTACATCCACTCTCTTTGTGTTCAGAATAGTTTAGTCCTAAAGTTTAAACTTTATTTAGTTTTACTTATATATTTATATAAAAATGGTTTACAAACTTCTGAACTCTAATACTGGGCTCAGGAGTGTGGAAGTATTGGATATAATGAGAACGTAAAATTTTATGCACTTGAAGACAGCTTTAGAAATCTGCAAAGAATTTCCTCTTTATTCACTTCTGATGAAGACAAAGGCTTTGACAAGACAAAGTGCTATTGTCAACCCATTCCTAATCTGAAAATTAAGCACTTTCAAAACATTTTTATTTATTGTCTCTGTCCAGGACCAAAGTACTTCACAGTAATTACAGCATCACATATCAGTAAAGATAGAACTACAATTAAAATTGTTAATAGAATAAAAATAACAAATAAATCATTTCAGTTTAATTTCAGTGAGAGGATTTTCCCCCAAAACTCATCCATCAATCAGATCAATTAAATGCCACATTTTTCTTATTTCAACTGGTCTGATTACTTTACAAAAGTGTCACTTTTCAAGAAAAAGAATCTTGTTATTTCTTCATCCATGCAAATAAGTCGAAAAAAGAAGAAACATGATAATTGAACTTTATCAGAACTTTATCATTAGTTCTGATAAATTATTAGTGAAAGCCATAAACTATTGGTCCGGCGGTGATGGGCTTCAATGCAGCAAGGCTTGGAACAGAACGCAACTCTCTGCTTCGACAAACCTGTGAAAAATATAAAAGTAAATTTATTTATTCATCATGAATCATAAACTGCTGATTCATAAACTACTGAACATAAATAGAATAGAATAGAATAGCATTTATTGTCATTGAACAGGATTCAACGAAATTTCTATTGCAACTCCCGTGCAAAAAGTCAAAATATACAATATTAAATAAACAAACACACAATAATAATAATAATATATACAACTAAAATTAACTAAAGGCACTCAACCACACCAAAGAAGAAGCAGCAGGTCCAATTATGGTAAAGTGCAGATGATGTGACAGTGCAAGTGCAGAACAATATGGCTGTGTGGGGGGGGGTGTATGTGAGGTTATGATATGTGTGGGAGGGGGCGGCAGGAAGTAATGGCTCTGACGGCTGTGGGGAAGAAACTGTTTCTCAGTCTGTTTGTTGTAGTCCGTATATTCCTGAACCGCTTGCCTGATGGCAGCGGCACAAACAGTCTGTGGCCCGGGTGGCTGGAATCCATGGCTATGGATCCAGCTCTCTTGACCCGGCCCATGTAAATAGAGTCCAGGTCCGGGAGGGGGCATCCCACAATGCCTTGTGCTGTTCTCACCACCCGTGTCAGTTGTTTCCTCTCCAGTGCTGTGCAGCTACCGTACCACACAGTCACGTTGAGGCAGAGGACGCTCTCGATCGTTGCCCTGTAAAAGTTCACGAGCAGCCGTGAGGAAAGTCCAGCCCGTCTCAGTTTCCTGAGGAAGAAGAGCCTTTGTTGTGCTTTCTTCACCAGGTGGGAGGTGTTGGTATTCCAGGAGAGGTCAGACGTGATGTGGAGGCCCAGGAACTTGATGTTGTCCACACGCTCCACCTCTTCTCCATCTATGAGAAGGGGAGTGTGACCCGTCCTCCTGGACCTTCTGTAGTCCACAATGACCTCCTTGGTCTTCCCTGTGTTCAGCACCAAGTTATTGGCTGAACACCACTGAGTGAGCTGCTGAATTTCCTCTCTGTAGTGGGTCTCGTTGTTGTCTGAAATGAGACCCACTACTGTTGTGTCGTCCGCGAACTTGACGACTGTGTTGGGGGGTGGATGGCAACGCAGTCGTGTGTGAACAGGGTGAAGAGAGCTGGGCTGAGCACACAGCCCTGCGGTGTGCCTGTGTTGAGGACCAGTGGGGACGATGTTGAGCCACCTATTCTCACCACCTGAGGCCTGTTGGTGAGGAAGTCTCTGATCCAGTGGCACAGTGAAGCAGGCAGCCCCACCTTGAGTAGCTTCAGCACCAGCTTGTCTGGGATGACGGTGTTAAATGCTGAGCTGAAGTCTACAAATAGCATCCTGACGTAAGTGTTGGGATGCTGCAGATGGGTCAGGCCTGTGTGCAGAGTGATGGAGACAGCATCCTCTGTTGACCGGTTTGCTCTGTAGGCGAACTGGAGGCTGTCCAGGTCTGCAGGGATGAAGTGTCTGATGTACCTCAGAAGAATCCTCTCAAAGCACTTCATGATCACCGGGGTCAGAGCAATGGGCCGGTAATCGTTCAGGCTGGTGATGGTCGTCTTCTTCGGTACAGGGATGATGGTGGAAGACTTGAGACACTCAGGAACCATGGTGAACTGCAGGGACAGATTGAAAATGTCCAGAAACACTCCTACCAGCTGGTCGGGCGCACGTTTTCAGCGTCTGGCCTGACACCTTGTCCGGTCCTGTAGCTTTGCGGATGTTGATCCTCCTCAGGGTGGACGTCACCTGGTGCTGCTGCAGGACGAGAGGCTGGTACTGCTCTTCCAGTCGGGGTAGATGTACAGCTTCTCTGTTGCCCACCGTGTCAAAGCGGGCAAAGAAGCTGTTTAAGGTGTCAGGCAGGGTGGGGTCATAAAAGTATGTTCAGTTAATTAATCCCCAAATAATTCACCCCCTGCCAGGTTGAGATTAGGAAATAGTTTCAATCAACCAAGAAGTTTGTTTCAGATAGAAAATGAGAAATAATGAAAAACTGTAAAAGGATTACTGTTTCTGCAATTAGTTTTTTTTAATGTCTTTATTTCCATTTTTGACAAAGCTGGCATGTTTCATTTTAAGTCTCTGCTCACCGGGACACAGCTGAAGCGTGTCTTGTCACACAGGCTCAGGCGACAGTGAAGATAAATTTTTCGATATTCTTCCCCCAGCAGGAACAACAGAGCAGTGAAACGAGCCTGGAGGGACGTGCCGCTCTGGACCACTGACACCTGACGGCGATCCGTGGAGCATCTACAAGGGATAACGGAGGAAAACATAAAGGTTTTAACCGTCACTTTACAGCAGACAGTGTTTACTGAGGCTGAGGAGGAGCACAGACTTGTTCTCAATGAGGGGGTGTCGTATGGGGTCTTCAGGGTTTGACGTGGGAGTGGCAAAGCAGTTCTCCAGAATAACCATCAAGTTTGAGTTCATTTCCTCCACAGAAACGCCAACGTACAATGGCGAGCCCACTGGCAGGGTGACTACGCCTGGTGGGTAAGTGGAACTGTAGCTGGAGTCCACGAACAGAAACATGAAGGCTCTGGGCTTGGCACCTGTACCCGAAATACCGTGTTCCCACCTGCCAAGGCAACAACCATCTTTATCAAGCAGTCCAGAAATGTATTTGCTGTTTTTGCTATTTTAAATTGTTTGAAGATCTTCTTGTGATTAGAGCGCAATCTAGAATTAGAATTAGAACTCAACTTTATTGTCATTACACTTTCACATGTACAAAGCAACACAATGTAGTTTGCATCTATCCAGAAGTGCTATTCAGGATATAAATATTTATAAACAGTTGTGCAAGATATAAACAGAGAATAATGACGTGCTATAAATGTTTTGTACAATATAAACATCTATCAAGCTCATTGATATATTGCATCGATGATGCAGAGCAGATCTGGAAAATGGTGGAAGATTTGGATGAACTAACACTAATTTGTGGTCATAGGCAAGTGGAAATGCATTTTGTTAATTTAAGACGGAGACTGTCCACCCAGAATCTACCAGCTCAGTGACATTGATCAGAGAGGACGACTTACTCTAAAGTTGGTCTTACTGCCACATTCAGGCTGGTGTCAGTTTCCAAAGGATAGAAACAGGAGAATGGAAACTTCCTGGGAAGGAGGAAGGATTCATTGTTTGCTGAGTAGATAAATAAATTGTTCCTAAAGACAGCATGTGTACCGTTGTTCTGAAAGACAAGAAAATGACAGCTGTCAGACAGGAAAGTGTGGTGGGAGAGAGGGGAAAGATATCCAGCAAAGGTCACTGGGCTGTGTCTTGAATCTGTGATGGCTGTGATGTTACCCTTCTGATAACATGTACGTACTGGCTTACATGTTACCAGAAGGACAACATGTCAGCCCTTCTGGTAACATGTTATGTACCAGAAGGGTAGTTGCTGTAATCTTACTAATGAGCACTTAGCAAGGTCTTCACAAGACCTTGTTTCTTTTTGATTTTGTCTACAAAAATGATATATAGTATTAATTTTTAATGTGGCATAAATAAATATCATATTGGATTATTCTTCACTAGCACATGTCACTGAAGAATAGCTGGTTTATTTGCCCGGTTCATTGAAGTTGCATGAATAATCTACAACCTAGTTCTCCACTAGGGACCCAACAAGATAACACAGATAATGGTCTCTGAGTTTCTCACTTTGACTGGAAAGTGTGATAGTGACAAGATAAGAATCCGACACACACAGCAAAACATTAAAGATTTTTACCGTCACTATATTTCCGCAGGTACCTGGTCGAGCCTCCACCTCGTACCACACAACACCCCAATGAACGTTGAACCTTGTGCAGTTGCGGGCAGCAAGATGTCCAGAGAATGGATCCAAACCTAAAGACTGCATAGTTTTGAGATCCAGTCCTACTTGGAGTTTATCTCTGCCACAAATAAGCTGTACCCCTGTCTGTTTGACTTCTGAAAAACACATGAACAAACACAGTGTTTATTAAAGTTACAGGATGCAAATTTTCAACAATGTGTTTTAAATATATACGTTAAAACTGTCACTATATCGAGACATTATGACATAATAAAGATAATCTGTGAAGAACATTAACCTGCTCAGCTTTCTCCCAATGTTTCCAATAATTACTGCAGAAATACATCACTCAGTCAGACAAGTAAGTTGTACAGGAGGCTCTCTGAAAAAACTGAATAATATTTTGCATAACATTGACTAATATGAAAATTAACTTACTCTGTTGAATTTGTGACAACCAGAATTATTTTGATGAAACAATGTAAATTGTTATGATTGTGCAGAAAAGTATTGGAAATAGACAACATAAGAATTAATACATGCAAAAATTGTGTAACATAGTTTTACCTTCACAGACAACACCAACATCCTCTTGGTGATCACAGTTATGATCTCCAAACCCCGGATGTTCACATTCTGTTAGCTGTGATTCATTTCCTAGGCACTTCACGTCATCCATCCATATGCGCCCAGTTCCCTCTCCAAAATGTGCAGTTACTACAATGACTCTTCCGCAGCCTGCCTGTCGACACACCGCCTCAGCATTAATGTTGTTCCACATATCATCACACACTGTCCCCCACTCTCCATCGATAAAGATTTCCACTCTGCCAGAGCAGTTGCTTCCTCCATTGACCAGTCTTAGTGCTCCCTCAGAGAGACCTGATCTGCTGTTGGAGGAAGGCTGCAGGCATTCATAGGACCCTGGTCTGTTGGAGCAAATCTGATGCTCTGGGCACGGGGAACTCTTTTGAGAGCACTCATCAAGGTCAACACAGCCGAGGTCTGGAGACCATTGATAACCTGTCTCACAGCAGGGAGACTTGTTGCAGAGCTTTCTATCATAGCAGGTCAGACCATCACCAACAAAACCATCTCTACAAACACAAGAGAAGATCCTGCTGGTGAAAGAGTCGCCTCTGTCTCTGGACTCCCAGCAGGAGGCTTCACTATGGCAAGAATCACAACTGGTGACCAGTGATGCTGCAAAAAAACATAGAAGGCTATTTAGATGTATGTAGATGTTATTAGATAAAACACTCCACCAGCCAGACATATCACATGCACTTTTTATCAAATACAAGAGAATTAATTTTCCATAGATTTATTTATTTATTTTTTTTTAACATATCTTTATTTTTTTTATTTGATCTGCAACCCATTTGTGTTTTAAATCCAAGATGGAAGAAAATAAATCCAAGTTTTACCTGAACTGGTTCTAATCAAAATGTGTAAAAGTAGAATTAGAAATATTGTACAGGGCATTTTTGAACAATGCACAGCACAGACCTCCTAAGAAGAAAACACAGAATGCAGTATTGCTTTCCTTAAAGAAGAAACTAAATGTCCCTGGACAGGGTGAGAATTTATAGGTCCGTTGAAGTGATGGAACTCAAGCCGAAGTTGTAAAACTATACAACTTTATCTGAAAAAACAAGGAAAATATGCTAATAGGGGTCTGGAAAATATGCTAATAGGGGTCTGAAAAAAGAGGTCAGGTTCATCAGCTCACATATTTGGAAATAGCTGTTTTATCGGCAGTGGCGTATTGCTCCTGGTGCCGCACCCTGAACATTTCATATTCTTTGTATGACTGAAATTAAATTGTTGGTAATGCTCCTTTATGTAAAGTATCAAGACGAAATAAAAATGCAAAGATACACGTTTGAATTTACACTGTTCGTTTATGATGTTGGACTGGGAGATTATTAACTCCCAGTATGCCTCCATGGATGGAGGCATATGCTTGTTAGTGACCCACATGGGCAAGAAAGAGGCAGAAAAGAAAAGATGGAAACAAAGAAGCCCTGCTATGCAAAATGTCTCCAATTGAAAATTCATGGAAAGACTGAAGATTAAGACTGCATGGAAAACTCCAGCAAAACTTTCAAAAGTTAAAGTCAATTTCTGAGAAATGTGCCAAAATAGTACTTAGGAAATGTATGTTTCTCCCTGCAGGAAATGTCTTCGACTTGTGTCAGTACCAAAAAAAGCAATTTTTTAATGTCACACATTTTATCTGCCCATGATTTAATACTTCTACTAGTTACTTCCTATTTGATAATGCACCTTGGACAGAAATCATTCAAACACCTGTTTTCCTTATTTGTTTAGCTAACTTGGAAACAGAAAAAGAAAAAAAATTCTTATTACATTTAAGTCATATTTTTTTGGTTAAATATGGATATTTTAACCACATAACTTCAACTTTCTGGTTGATTCTAGGTCATTTTACAACTCACATTGTGTTTCCTTTTGGCCTTGTAGAAATCTTTTATGATGCATGATTTATTTAAAGACTTTACTCAGTTACTATATTATCATACAACTTCTAATCATTCTTTACAATGCCTCTGAACTCAGTCTGCTGTTGAAATGTAAATGATTTACTTCATATTTTATTCCGTTATATGACATGGTAGCTATTTTTACAAACATGAAAGAGTTGAGGAATTGTTAAAAAAAAAAAAAACATTTGTTTGGGACATTTGTTAATTAAAAGCTGGTGAGTGTCATGATTGGGTATCTGAGAAATTAAAAGCTGGTGAATCTGTTAATTAAAAGCTGGTGAGTGTCATGATTGGGTATAAAGGGAGGATCACTGAAAGCTGTGATCCACAAACCCCGGGCTGCAGACCGGTACCGGTCCGTGGACCAATCGGTACCAGGTCGCACAAGAAATAATTAAATATTTCTGTTCAATGTGTTATTTGAATCTGGAGAATCTTTTATTTTGAAAATCCTTTAACCACATTCTCTTGGTTTCTAAATGTTAGCAGAGGGACTCTGGCAATGCCTATTATTATCCTGCTGATATCTGCATGCTCTCTGTATTTTCCCCAAATATTATCCTGTTGATATAAAACTCGTACCAGTACCATTTGGTTTCAGCTGTTTTTTTTTTTCATCGTCTCTGACCATTTCTGAACACTTTAATTTTTTAAAATATTGTTGCAAGTTTTAATTTGAAGTTGCAGTAGCCATTATCAATTATAAGTCAGCCAGCAATCAAAAAGGTCTTCATGGCATAGGCGTTTCTTTATTAATCTGTCTACAAAAATGGTTTATGACATTGATTTTTTAAAAACACCATGTTGGACTAAGACACACACGTATGTGAAGAATGACTGGTTTAGTGACCCAATTCATCAAAGTTGCATGATTAACCTGCTATCTTGTTCTCCACTAGGGACCCAACAAGATAACACAGATAATGGTTTCTGACTTTCACACTTTGACTTGAAAGTGTGATAGTGATGAGATAAGAATCCGTCACACACAGCAAAACATGAAAGATTTTTACCGTCACTATATTTCCGCAGGCACCGGCTCAAGCCTCCACCTTGTACCACACAACATCCTGTTGAACGTTGAACCTTGAGCAGTTGTGAGCATCAAGATGTCCAGAGAATGGATCCAAACCTAAAGACTGCATGCTATTGAGATCCAGTCCTACTCTGAGTTTATCACAGCCACAAGTAAGATGTACAGGTGTCTCTTTGACTTCTGAAAAACAGACAGAAAATGACATTTTTTATAACACTGATTAAGAGATTATTTTGATAAAACAATGTGAATAGCTGTGATTATACTATTATGTTAGAAATGAAACAAAATGAATATAGTAAAGATCATACCAGTGTATAAAACTAGCAATAATCACCTCTTCACACATTATAGGCCTATCTCTCTTCTCTCTCAGTTCTCTAAACTTCTAGAAAAATCTTTTAAGACTAGAAAAATTCATACACATACACTGCTCAACAGTAGTCAATATGGAGTCAGAGCGAATCAATCAACATCACTAGCCATAACTGACTTAATGGAAGAACTTACCAATGCAACAGACATTAAGAAATTAGCTAGGAGGATTTGTAGACCTAAAGAAAACGTTTGACACAATAAATCATGATATAAAAAATTAGAATATTTCACCTGTGTTGGAACGTGGAGGGCGTTGATGGAGACTGCGCAACAGCTTCTGCGGTGAGGGAGAGATGCTGAAAACCGCGAGAGCTTCTGTGGTGGCTGGCTGGCGGTTGCTGGCTGGCGATTGCTGGTACCCTGCGGTGGCTAATAGGCCGGAGCGGCGCTTGGCTGCGAGGGCCGCTCGAGGCTGCTTGCAGCTTTAATTTGACTTATTCTTGATGAACAACTGGTGATTTATGCTTAAAAACTGAAGAAAACTGGTGCATGAGAACACTTTTTCTCTCAGCTGCAAGAATGTTGAAACCTGAGAAATGAACAATGCTTTTTCTTGTTTTCAAAATGTAAGTCTTTAAATTAATCTATGTATTAAACTACAGCGAGGACTTAAATAGACGCAAAGACACAATAATAACAAAAACAAAATTATGTGTTTATTTGATATAAATTCTAGTAAAAAATATGGAATCTGTCAAAGACATTTATGTATTATTTCACTTAGACAGAACTTCTCCATCCACGTAAAGAAAATATTTATCTTTCCCTAAAATCCTTCATAAGTTAAGAAAATACATAATTATTTAATATTAGTTTTTCTTGAAGCATCACTTGCATGTTTTTCCACTTTTTTAATTCTTAAAATCTGACTTGGTCAATGGAAGAAAAGGAAAAAATATGATAGCTAAATGTAATGACAATGAGGAGAGGTGTCAAACCTCTCCTCAAATATAATGGAATGTTAATTTAGGTAAAGGCGATAACACACATTTAGCAGATAAAATCTTAAGTGCATGTTTCTGAGAGGTTCCTTCGATTGTCAGTATCGTGTTTTAAAAATCCCATGTGAGAAATGATCAGCTGTCTCAAACATCTCCTCTGCAGGCGGAGGTCCATCAGGTCGGGTTTTAGTCGCTGAGAAGGCTCGCTGACTCCATCTGCAGCGCCTCTTCCATGCTGTCAGCGTATCTGAAGCCTTGCAGATCAGCAGCAAGGAGAACCTTCAGAACTCCGGGCTGAATCAGGCGGAGACACAAGAGGGAGATTAAAGGTGCCAACTATTTACTCCATTACTCCATTAGTTACCAGCTGAAGACTGAAAGGACGAGAGGCTCACCTGCAGTCTTAAAAACATAAGCTGGACCTTTCTCAGTTGGAACTGCCTGAGCAGATCCTTCAGCTCGCTGATCACTGTGTAATCTATGATGCTCACATGATGGCAGTCCAACACCACAGACTTCGGGGGACAGGCTGGTGGACAGAAGGTGGACACGTGAAGACGAGGGAACAAAGTTTTTCAACAGGACTGGATGAAGAAGCTCTTACTCTGCAGAGCCTGAGTGTGTATGAAGTGGCTCAGATGCTCCACAGCAGGGAAACTGAGCCCACTGCTCAACTCGATCACTAATACGCCGTGATCAGACACCTGCACAGGAAAGCAAACAGGGTTGATGATTTAAAACTAGCTGCAGCTAAAGCTCTGAAAAAGTTTAGGGTTTGCCTAGGGTTAGGTGTTAGGATTAAGATTCTTTTCTCTTCTATGCTACAGACCATTGCAGATCATTGGTGCAAGAGATGTAAGAAAATCTTACAAGATCTATATATTGAAAAATTTCATAAAAGGCGCTGGATAACCCAAATGTTGGTTTTAAAAGCATCTCGTCAGTAATGTTGTTTCACCTTCATCTTGGGTCTGGCCATGGCGTACAGCAGCAGGGCTCCAGAGACGGCCACACCTCCGATGATACCGTACTGCACTTCCCAGAAGCTCAACAGGAATGTCACCCCAAAAGGAAGCAGGTCCAACCCTGTGGATGGCAAGTCACAGCTTAGCTAAATTGACAGAAACATGGCAGAGAAAAACCAGGAGAATCTCCCAGAGACTCTTACGATGTATCTTCCACATCTTTATTACGACACGGTAATCAACCATAGGAGCCACCGCGCAGATGATGACGGCAGCCAGAGAAGCTTTAGGGATGTAGTAAAAAGCCGGCATGAGGAAGGCCAACGACAGCAGCACGATCACACCTGCAGACGCACAAACAAGAGGAAAAACAATTGGGAAGTAAAAAACAAACACAAATTTCAATGTTTTAGAAAGTACAGATAAAGGTTTAGCTTTTATATTCAACTAACCACTGGAGCATTCTGCTGTTTAACTAACATGTTAGTATTATTATAAGTTTAGATCAACTAAAATTCAGGTTGTATTTAAAGGGTAAGGACTTTTCTATTATTATGACAGTAGAAATATGCAATAATGCAGTCTGCCACAAGAGGACAGAAGAGTAAAAGGATCAAACCTACTGGTGACGATGCCTCCAGCTGGGGTGCAAACCCCCGTCTGAGAGTTCACCGCTGTCCTAAGAGGAAGAGAGAATGCAAATGTTGACAATATAAAGAGTTAAATAGGACAGTAGAGCAGATTCTTCAGAGAGCCAAACACGAACCGTCCGAAGCTGCCGGTGACGGGGTACGCTGACACGAAGGAGCCCATGATGTTGGTCATGCCGATGGCCAGCAGCTCCTGGTTGGCATCAATCCTGTAGTTGTTCTGACTCGCTAGTAGGAAACAGACAAGTAAAGTTGAAATTGATGCTCCATTGTTGCTGAAAACTTTATTCAATAAAAATGATCCACAACCTGCTGCAACTGTTGGCTATAATGTGTAAAAAACCCTTAAAATAAGTTTATGTTTCATTGCAGCAGGATAAATAGCTGCATTAATTTGGAATAGTCCAACATTTTAAGTAGAACGCATTTTTTCAGCTGGATCATTTTTTACTTGGTGGTACTGAATGTTTTGGGACCATGAACTCTTTCAAATGACATTACATTTTAGATACAAATCCAATGTGAAAAAAACCTAAAGATGGGTTGTAATGGGACATTTCAGCAAGATCCAATGATCCAAAGCAAAACATTAGGGTTGAGCTGAAGAGAAAAACATTATCATAGAGGTTCCTGCACTCTGGATGACGATCAGTGGAGCTATCTTGTAAGAACCGATAAAGGAGTTTACCAAAAGCTTTGGCGATAGCAATGCTCTCCAACAGACCCATGAGAGGGATCACAGCCAGTCCTCCTCCAAAGTCCTGCACCGAAAGTATGACTGGTCAGCGACACACAGCAGAGAGAAATGGAGAAGTGAATGCTACGGCTCACGCTTCTGCTTCTGACCTCTATAATCTCTCTAAAAGGGACGACAGTGCCGTTGGACGTGGTGTCCGACGTGGGCGGAGGGCTGAACGGTGGGAGTCCCTGAGTCGTGTGGCCAGTGATGGTGAACACATGATGTCCAAAAGCGTCCCAGGAAAACGCCACCAGAGTCGCAGCCACGACCACCAGTGCATTACGCACTGATCAGGACAAAGAGGTAAAACAGCTCACATTTAGGAGTTAAACCAACCGGGTTTGAGTTTTCTGCCTAGGTGAGAGAAGTACTTACTGGTGGCCACAGTCCACACCAGTTTCCTGGCAAATCTGGAGTAGACTGACGATCCATGGTCAGAGCCCGGATGTGACTTGATGAACATCAGCGTGATCAGCAGAGCAAGACAAACCAGGCCCAGGATCACGTCGCCCACTCTGGCCTCTGGGATCTTGTGGAAGGTGTAGTAAACCTCCAGGAAGAACTGGTGGGGAACATCCCGGATTCCCAGAATATTCTGCAAACACGAACCAGTTTAACCATTCACATAAAAAACACATGTAAACAAAAGGAGCTTAAACCACTTCAGCAGCATTATAACAGTGAGTCTGAGCATTCATTTCAGATTTCAGGCTTTGAACAAACATGAAGTTTTATTTCATACATTATATATATATATCACAGACATACATTCTATATAATCTTATAGCAAATATCCAAGACTCTATATGCCCTTATGTGAAAGTTTAATTATTAAAGTACTTTTGTTTTGTCAGAACCACTTCCACACACAAAAAACATTGAATTTTGTCAGTCCCATGTATATGCAAATTGCTCAAATAACAGAACGTAAAGAAATATCTTCAATTTATAGAAAATGATAAAACATTTATAAATAAAAAATGGACAAAAAGAAATTCAAATCTACTTGAAAGCTTTTTAAACTAATTCATTTTGAATAGGAGTTTACAGCAGAAAAGTGCCTAAAGATCACTAAATGCTCTGTTTAGTTCAGTTTAAAAGTTAAAATAAACTAAAATTTGCCCCTAAATACAAATCTGCATCAAAGTTGTGCAAAAATAATTTAAAAAGCACAAAGAATATAAACTTTCTGGTTTAAACTCATTACCTGCAGCCTTCTGCAGGCATTAAAATAAATGAATTTATATCCAATTTCCTGACAGATATTATTGCAACGGCTCTTTTTGCCCTTCCTTAGTGCCGTATTGTTCAACGTTTTGTTTTTGCTGTTATTTGTTAGCGTTAATTCAAACAGCTCTTGGTTGTGCAAAGTCATCGTGACGACAAAAAGCTTTCTCATTCTGACCCTGATTAAAAAACAGTTCCTCTGTCCTGTGATGAAAGCTTTAGAGCCACACACACAGCTGTCAGTCACAAGAGGTGTGTGTGTGTGGTCTCACTTTGACCTGGCCGAAGCCGATGGTGATTGCAGCAGCGCAGGTGAAGCCTTTAATTACAGGGTAAGAGATGAAATCCAGCAGGAATCCTGAGGAAAACAAAGATTAACAATGAATTCTAGACAAAAACAGATGGGAGATTTTATCTCTGCTACTTCTGCCAATTTATTTTAACCAATTTAAACATGCAAAGAACAGACAGCAAAGTTAAAAGGAGGATCTGCGTTAACTCAAGTAACATCACTAAAGCTGTGGCGGCAGCAGCAGAGTCTCTTACCCAATCTGAGTAACGCCATGACGGCCTGGATGACTCCACAGAGGAGGCTGAGCAGGACGGCCCGGTGAGGCTGGCCGCCCACCACAGAGAAACACAGGAGGGACATGATGGCTGTTGGACCCAGTGTCACGTCCTTGGATGTCCCCAGGAGTGTGTAGATGAAGCCGCCCATGAAGGCAGAGTAGAGTCCGTACTGTGAGAAACGACCAGAACACAACATTTGCTGTGAGGAGTAAACATTTCTCCTCTAAAGCATCTCAACTCACTAAAACTCATATGCCCTCAGTAATAAGAGAAGTTAATAATAAAGCAGATCATTATAAAGTTCAATGAAACTAGGTCTTAAAAAATTGTCACAAATGACAATCAGAAAAGTTTGGCATGCTTTTGTATTCAGTCCTCTTTAGTGCTACTAAATAAAATCCAGTGAAACCAGTTGTCAGTAGGATTAAACAAACATATGCTCTTTTCCTACTCATTTTCAGAGATTTAATGTAGACATTTGTTGGACTATTTTTATTGTTGCTTTACATTTTTGGTTTATTCATCTATTTATATGTTTGTTTGTTTCTGTTGTTTTTCTCATGCCTGAAATAAGTGCTAAAAAATGATAAAGTTGCCATATTAGTTCACAAGTTCACTTGTGAACTAAATTTATCTCATTATAAAATGCACAAGTTTGTTAAAGCACAGTGGTGATGAAGTCCAGGGAGAAACATGGTGGTGGCAGAACATTCTGATGCGTTTCATCAGTTGGAAGGAAAAAAACTGGTCTGACATTAGAAAAAAAACCCAAAACATAATGTTCATCAAAAGTCAAACTTAACCTCACCTGAACAGGAAGTCCCGCCACTTCAGCGTAAGCAAGAGCCTGCGGCACGGTGGTCAGTCCGACAGTGAGGCCCGCCAACAGGTCCATCTGCAGGTACCGCACCCTGTACTTGGGTAACCAGGAGAGAATGGGCAGCAAGGACTGCAGGGTGCTGCGAGAACAGCAGCACCGGGACGACTGTCCTCCGTGCAGCGGCCGATCCATTTCCAAAAACTCTTGGAGGCAGAGAGAAGAATACAGAAGGCCTTCAAAAATCAACATACTCAGAAATGTATGTATGACTGGAGAATTAAAGCACTCACAGTGAGGTCAGGGTTCCCTTGTTGAGGCCGTCAGGTCTTCCGGCTGTGATTCCCAGCATTCAGGAAAACACAACACACCTGCTCTAAGGGGATGCATGCGTCTATGTGAACTCCTCAAAAGCAAACAAACTCCTTACCTTCAGGTGGGGGGGAAGAAAAACAACAAGCAAAAACAAACAAAACTTGTCAGCTTCCTCCAACACTTAATATAGGTTATGCTCAGCTGTGTGACGTCAGACAAGTCATAGGATGGTCATGTGACAGACAGGTGAAGCGCATGTACCTGAACATCCTGACTGATTAGGGAAGCTATCTATAAAGGTTTGAGCAAACAAGAACTCAAAATGTTAAGAGATGGATGCAAGAAGCCGTTAAAACCTAAAGAAGAAGAAGAACTCAAAATGTTATTACTGTGCAGCCTGTTGGCATAAAGTTTCAAATAAGTGAGATGTTAAAATTGAACAGAACTGAGGGCAGACAAATAATAGTATAGAATAATATAGTATAACATAGTTTACAATAGAATAGAATATCCCACCACATTGTGCTGACTGCAGTCCTCCTCTTGGCGCCTTTCATCGCCCAGGCTGTGATTTTTCACATCCACCGCTGTTAAACAATAGCTGTTAAAATCCACTTCTCTAAAACCCGGCTGAGACGCTCACTGCTCGTCCAAAACGGCAACAACTTCCTTTTCTTTTCTTTTTTTTTTTTTGTTTGTTCACCCTTCTCCGTCACGTGACCGCGGTCACGTGACGGGAGCGCAGTTTGTTTCCGGAAGTTTAAAGAATGGTGGCCGTTGGTTGTCTCCGGAGGTCGTAACGTCTGAAGAGCTGCTTGCCGTCAAACGGCAGATATTTAAACCGTCACTATGCGGGTCCAGTTGCTGTTTGCGCTCGTCGCCGCTTGTCGCGTCTCGGAGTCAAAGAGGAGAAACGTGCTTCTCATTATCGGTGCGTGACCATTTCACATGTTAAATAAAAAAAAAATACATTTTTGTGAAATTAAACTGTGATGGTGTCGTTTCATTGTATGTTTGTACCAGCCTTTCTTTATTTCATGAGCTACAGCATTTGTTCTTTATTTGTATTACTTTGAGTCTTGTGCAGTCTAGAGACATGCAACAGTCTTGTGTCGCCATCTGGCATTTATTTTACGTTCTTCTGCTCTTTCAAGCTGCTAGGCTGGTTTATATGTGTTAAACGTTGTCTTGATTAATACTAAATACTAATCAAATAGGATAAATACGGGTGCATCTCGTCTCATGATACAGAAAATGGAGCTTGGTGAATTCAAATGTTGATATTGCATTTATATCTGACACTAATGAAACCAAAATTCAGTTAAAGCAATTATTAATACAGTAAGTTTAACCTTTCCAACATCAGTGTGAACAGAGCACCGTGTTGACCTTTGGCCTGTAACCTTGATGTCATTGCTCTTCAACCACTGACAGACCACACAATATGAATCTCTCTCCAGTTTCCTAAATCAGCTTTGCTGCTGTCATCTCTGTTGGTTTTGCTCCTTTTTTTTCCCACTCAACTTTTTGGCTAAAGCTCTCTGAGCAGTCGGCTTTTTTTTTTTTAATTATGATCTTTTGTGGCTTTTTCTCTATGTGGAGGGTGTCAACGACTGTTTTATGGACAATTACCAAGTTGTTAAACTATTGCCAGACTGTCTCAGGTAACAGTAAAGTTAACATTAATTTCCTCCCCCCCAGCTGATGATGCAGGTTTTGAAACAGACGTCTATAACAACTCGGTGGTCCACACTCCTCACCTGCGCTCTCTGGCACGACGCAGCGTTGTGTTCAGGAACGCCTTCACATCCGTCAGCAGCTGCTCCCCGAGCCGCTCCGCCATCCTCACAGGCCTGCCGCAGGTAACACACCCGCGTACCCGTCAGTCCCTCCTGTCTCATGGCACTGAGGTTGGTCCTGTGTTTTCAGCATCAGAACGGCATGTATGGCCTCCATCAGGGAGTTCATCACTTCAACTCATTCGACGGAGTACAGAGTCTGCCGCTGCTCCTCAGCCAAGCCGACATACACACAGGTTCTGTTTAAAAACTGACATCGCGTTTCTTCACTCTGTGTTGCTTTCCTTTGATCTCTCTATTAAATTTTTTTCTCCTGTCAATTCCCGCAGGTATAATCGGGAAGAAGCACGTCGGTCCCGGATCTGTCTACCCCTTTGACTTCGCCTACACGGAGGAAAACAGCTCCGTCCTCCAAGTGGGCAGGAACATCACTCGGATCAAACTCCTGGTCCGGAAGTTCTTCCAGACTCACAAGGAGGAAGCAGCTGAGCGACGGCGAGTAAGAGGCGCAGGAACGAGCAGCAACCCGAATGCAGAGGAGAAGGAAGAGGAGAGGCCGTTTTTTCTTTACGTGGCCTTCCATGACACCCACCGATGTGGCCATTCGCAGCCTCAGTATGGGGCTTTCTGTGAGAAGTTTGGGAACGGAGAACCGGGAATGGGTAGAATTCCCGACTGGACGCCAGTGTATTACACACCAGAGCAAGTTAAGGTGAGCAGTAAGGCTGCTGATAAATTTATCACAATAAAAGGCTGTCATATCAGTGGATATTGACCATTTTTTATTAGATTTTTGTTTTCAACATCTGAAATAATGGCAAACTTTCAGTTTTATCCACAGTTTCCTCTCAGCTGTTGTTCTTATTTTGCTCTTTTACTCAACAGACTGTTGTTTTTTTGTTTGTTTTTTTACGTTTAAACTCTCTTCAACAGTTTGTTGAACGTAAAAAAATGCTGTTCAGTTCTGGAGTTCAGTCAAATTATTTAATATTCTATCAGATGTGTTTTGTATTGATATTGATTAGGTGTTTATTTCTATGTTGTTAATGGTGCAGCCCTAGTCAGTGGGTTCAGGTTTTCAATGGATTCATAAAATAGATTCAAGTCGGTCCGAGGAACTGAATCCAGAGCGAAGTGTTTCTAACTGTGAACGTCTTCAGGTGCCTCCCTTTGTACCCGACACACCTGCTGCTCGGGCCGACCTAGCTGCACAGTACACCACAGTCAGCCGGCTGGATCAGGGTCTGTTCAGCACCTTCACAAGCGCAAAAAAGAAAACAACAAAAGGATGAGGAAGATTAACCCACAATGTCCCTCTGCAGGTATCGGGTTGGTTCTTCAGGAGCTGCGGGATGCCGGCTACGAGAACGACACTCTGATCATCTACAGCTCCGACAACGGTATCCCTTTCCCCAACGGCAGAACCAACCTGTATCGATCTGGAACCGCCGAGCCCATGTTGGTTTCCTCCCCGGACCACAGGGAGCGGTGGGGCAACACCAGCCAGGCCTACGTCAGTCTGCTGGGTGAGAGACGGCCACATCTTCCACCCAACCACAGATCCCTCACCTCCAGTCCTTCTTGGGTATTTATAATTGGGAGGATGCAGGTATTTAACTGAAAACAGTGCCAATTTATGGCAAGATTGTATGTAAAAACATTTTTAGAAATTTAAACATGACAGTTTAAAGCTGATCAGAATATGCAATAACTTTGTTTTAGACAGGCCTATTTCCTTTAGCCACTCTTCAAAACTGGATGGACAAGAGAACATGTGTCTAGAGTAAGATGGATGTATATGTTGACCTTCAATAGTCTGGAAATGGGAACAAAAAACATCTGCTTACCTGAAACTGCCTGGAGCTACAGACTCAGGACTAATCAAAATGTTTCAAATAATGGAAACTGTGACGAGCTGAGCGGATTATCAGGCTTATCTTGCCATTATGCTCATTCTTGATGTTTGAAGAGAAAGGCCAGGAAGCATCCATTTCTATCCTATCATCACAAGCATGATCCCAGCTTTGGGATCCAAGTCATCAATCAGAGACGTTTTGTCACCCAAATCACAAAACATGGATACAAGTTTATTCTCAATATCAACTCAGTAGCACAAGTGCTGTCTCTAGCTCATTTAGGCCCATTTGGCTCGACAACATATAAAAACTGCACTTTTCTTCCTCAACGGGTGTCACACCCTCTGGTTTGGGACAATAACCTGACCAGAGAGAACATCAGTAGGACAACACACACTTTCAGCTTTCAGAGAAAACCTCAGAGGATTTAACAGTCAATATGTATTTTTAGTGTCAGTTTCTCCGTTCAATGTGTTTCTGCTGCCACTAGAGGGAGACACAGGAACACAACACAAGCTGCTCAGCTGCTAAGATAACATCAATATTGTTAATGAAAAAATGATTACATTCTTTTAAGTACACACTGTTAATATTTCACAAGATCAGATCATTATATCAGTCAGTGCAAATTATGTAAAAAAAAAGTCAACTAACAACAGCAACATTGTAGCATCATAATATAAAATAAACATTGTTGCAGATCGGTACCGACAAGGAGGCACTGTTTATGTAGAGGCAGAAGCTTTTTATGCATTGTTGGAGAACATGATCATTTATATTGATCAGTGGATTTTGATCAACCTCTGTGGACGAGTGTTTGTTACAGGAATTGTCTGAATGTAGTTTCGACACATCACACTCTTACTATGATGGTTTTGTCAATTCTGTGTCATTTACCTGATAATTCTGTATTACTAATCTTCTAAAATGATGAGCTACATCTTAATTTTATCCATTTATGAGCTGATTTAATGTTCAGTGATAAAAGGTTACAGTTTAAATTTGTCTTCCATATTTTTTTCATCCTCCTATTTCTTTCTGTGTTTCTGCAGACATCACTCCCACCATCCTGGACTGGTTTTCTATCCCCTATCCATCCTACATCCTCCCTGAGAGTCCGTCCTCGCAGGTCCTCCTCACCGGCCGCTCCTTGCTGCCCGCTTTGACCTCCGACCCCAGCAGCTGGAACACAGTGTACTCCAGCCAGTCGCTTCATGAGGTCGAGACCTCACCGTCGCTCAGTCAGGAGGAACTCAAACTCCGAGCCCTGACGAACTCCGCTCTGATTTCAGGTGACCATGTACTACCCGATCCGCTCTGTCCACCAGGGGGCGTACCACCTTCTTCACAACATGCACTACCGCATGCCCTTCCCCATCGACCAGGACCTGTACGTGTCCCCGACCTTCCAGGACCTGCTGAACCGGACCAGGCTGCAGCAGCCGACTCACTGGTTCAAGAGTCTGGACCAGTATTACTACAGGGAGCGCTGGGAGCTGTTCGACACCAGGTCTGAGTCCGCAGTGTCAGGGTTCAGGTTTAAAACTGACGCCTGGGAGAAAATTCTTCAACACAACTGAACCAAAAAAAGAGTAAAACTAAATCAATATTTTTAATCTTTCGGGGGGGGGGGGGGAGAATCTGAACTTTGAAATTAATTAAAAAAAAAAAAACAGCAACCAGGCCCACATTTCCTAAAATGGCAGCATACGGAAAATATAATTTGTTCAAATTTAGTGCAGCTTTAATAAGAGAAAACACTACCCTTTTTCAAAAAAGTTAGTTAATTTATGCATTAAGTTGTTTCTCTTCTCCAGTGATTTTGAGGTAAATGAAGCAGAAGTTGTTCTTGTCCCTCTCCAAACGCTGAATGCTAAAGTTGAGCGTCAGACGACCGTAAACTGAGCTGCTAATTATTCAGTCATCCATCGTTTTTGCTCGTTCGTCTTTCTAAGTCGCCATCTGAGGCTTTGTGCAGACGCGATGATCATTCTTCATCATTTAGGTGACAAACTGTTGCTTCAGAAATGATGACAGATAAATTAATATTGTAAGTGATCATTAGTTTCAGTCCCCCCTCCCTGTTCTCAGCTGTAATGTAAAATAATAAGAGGAAAAACTTCAGTGTGTATTTATATAATTGGATTACAACCAGACGGGTAGATATCACACACACACACACACACACATATACATATATATTTGAAAAAGTATTTTGCTCTTCGCCTTAATAATCAAAGTAAATAGGAATAATCACTTCACAAAAATATACCTATCAGTGTGTAAGGAATCTATACAGATTTGTCTCTTTGATATTTCAGTGATATTCCAAACTATTCAGACTTTCCTGTACATTTAAGAGGGAACCAGTAATGAACTGGCAATGCTGGCCGTTTGACAGCTGAGTTCTGAACCAGTTGCGAATGGCGTATTATTCACATTTTTAAACATTATTTGTTTAATGTTTCATACATTCAGACTGACTCAGGGATTATACATCATGACCTCCTCAAGCAGAGGAACCTGATGGTGTTTTGTTGTGAACAAACTCAGGACCGACCCTCAGGAAACCAAGAACCTGGCGTCAGACCCGTCCTACAGCGGCGTGCTGGACAACCTGAGGCAGCTTCTGCAGAAATGGCAGTGGAAGACGGGAGACCCCTGGGTCTGTGGGCCGGACTACGTCCTGGAGGAGAAGCTGGAGCCCCACTGCAGACCCCTCTACAACGGCCTCTGACTCGCTCTGATGGTATTTTCTTCCATCTTCACTGACGTGATATTCTCAAATGACTTCATGCATTTGGTTTCATATTTTTGTAATACAAAAAGCTGTAAATAAGAAATAAAACTTGAGTTAATTCTTTACTCGTGGTTTCAGTTTTTCCTTCTGCTTCATTTTTCTGGACAATTTCATCCTTCAAGTCAACATTTATTTATTTTTTTTTTCCTCCCACTTTTCAACATTTAAGTCCAACCTTCCATCATCTGGATCCTCGTGACACATTCTCATAGAAACCCAACATAATTACAGTTTAACTGTTTGCTGCTTTTTTTAAATTTAATTATTCAGCCGGGCTGACTAAGACTGATCTGATAATTAGACCATTCAGAGGAGTTCATGGTGCCTGACGGGAAGAAGAGTTAGCCTGTGTCCTAAAAAAGGGTTTCTATTGATTGTAACGATTCCCCTCAGAGCTCCACATAAAACCCAGATCAATTTATAACTCAAGCCCTTTCAAACATTTATTTACATGCTTTAATTTAGCTCACGCTTTGTCACATAACCACAAATATCAGAGGATTTTGTGTGATGGACCCAGTACAAAATTGTCAAGTGGAAGGGAAAAGATGCTCAAGTTTGCATTTGTTTCTTTCTTTACAAATTACAATCTTTTCCCCCCACAAAAAGAGATTTGGAACTATGACAGTACAGCGATGTGGCTCTGCTTGAACGCAAACGCTTTTCACATTTTTGTGCATTTAGAAAACTTAAGATGTACAGACGGCGCCATTCAAAATTAAAATCTTGATTTAAAATTTTTTTTTTTCAAAGTTTGTGTTTGTTGCGAGACAAAAATGCATCACACTTCAGAAAACTGACGCAGACGCACCCGCGGGCGCTGCGACGCGATCAGGTTGCGCTGCGCCAGACTGACCTGCGGGTCACTTTCAGCCCCAACTCATCCACTTTCTTCACGCGTGTTTCTCCAACAGCTTCTCGTGAAACCCACACCTTCTTCTTAGGCTGTGACCTCCTGCCTCACATTTCTTTCAAGGACGACAGATTCATTTTGACCCCCTCAAAACGTCAGACGTCACGATGGCGCGGCTCCCGCAGCCCATCAGGAACCCATCAATTAGCGTCGTTCCCCTCCCGTTTTCTGCAGACGGATCATCATCATCATCATCATCCGCCCACCTTGGCTCTGATTTGACGAATGTCCTGTGTCACGATGAACCTCACCCAGCCTCCCTATATAAGAAACAGAAACTTTTCCAAGATTCCAGCAAAAAAACAAAGTGTCCGCAGACGCAGACTCGCAGAAGCGCTATTTTCTTGTGCGTAAAAAAAACAACAACTAAAAATTAAAAATCACCTTCTCCAAAAAGTGCCAAAACCGTCCCGGAGATGAAGAAGTCCGTCAGGTTCGCCGTGGTGTGCGTCGGAGTGTCTCTGCTCATCTCCTGCCAGTCCGTCGAAGCCTGGTACAAGCAGGTGACCGGACCCAGCTACTACTCCGTGGGCCGCGCCTCCGGGCTGCTGTCCGGCATCAGGAGGTCCCCGACCGTCCGGAGAGCCGAGTCCGAGGAGACGGCGATGGACAGCGGGGAGGCGGCGGGAAACAACTTGATCCAAGAGACTAGCAGGCAGATCTCCGTCCTGAAGAACATGGTAGGCTCTCCTCGGGGTGTAGAACGTTCATTTCTGCTCTCCTCGGGGAGCAGAACGTTCGTGTCTACTCAGAGAACGGTTACGCGCGCGGAATTGTGCTTTCCGCTCCAGAGTTGCCGTTTTGCTAAAGATGGTATCAAAAGTTTGATTTGCAAAGGGAATTCCGACATAGAGTCCATGGCATTGTGTGGCTTGTAAAAATCATAATAATAAAAAAGTTACGCGTTATGCTTTAATCTGCGTAAAGGCGCAGAATAAAGCGCAAAAACAAAATATTTGGGCTGAATCATATCAGCGAACACACACAAACACTGGTTCACCTGTACAGACGCACACAACTGAACCGAATCTCTTCAGTTCCTCACCTTGATTCTGACCTTACTAGGAGTTTTTCTCACATGATGACGCCATGTTTCATTTCAACTTTGACTTCTCTCCAAACTCCAGGCCATCTGCCTGAAGGACGTCTCTCCAAACCTGAAGAGCTGCGAGCTGCTGCAGGACGGGACAGGGACCTTCCAGTGCAAGGCAGATGTCTTCCTCACCCTGGACTCCTTGGACTGCCTGTCCGCATGAGACCCCGCGAATCCTCCTCATCATCATCCGCCCCAAAAAAAAAAAAAAAAAAAAGAAAGAAAATAGAGGTAGAAAGAAGGAGAAAAACCAGAGATTTTATCTGGGAAAGCAAAAAAAAAAAAAAAAAAAAATCAAAACAGAGATGAGGGATGGATGGAGATTTTTGCTTTGAATGTTTTCTCTTATTTAAAGAAAAATGCTTAAAAAAAAAACATTGTTCAGTTTTGCTTTTAGTTGAAAAGAAAAAAAAAATCTAAACAGGAGGAAAAAAACACAATGCCTGACAGTTTAGATGAAGCCATTTTCATTCCAACCCCTTTGCATAATAAGGAAATGTTCAAAAAACATCCAGAGGTTTATCTGCAGTTTTCCAGAATTCCTGTAAATTACTTTTATTTATTTATCTATTAAAATGAACAAACAACATTAACCTGCTGTTGTCTGAATTTGCTTCACAATCTTGAAAGGTTTGTTTTCACGTCTGTCAAAGGGGACAGAGTGACATTTATTCACATTTCAGATAATAAAAAAAACAAACAACAGACACACGCATCACCGCTTCATCATATAAAGCACTTTTGGGTGTTTTTTTTTTTTCGTTTCAGTAAAGTCAGTCATGGACAAACACTGTTTATTACTGAAGTCGTGTCGGTCGCTCAGGGGGAACCTTCAGAAACAAACTCTGGAACAGAAAACACCACGGCTCACACAAGCAGGAGGCAGCGCTTCAAATCAGAGGTCATCAGAGGATGAGTCACAGGCGGAAAGAAAGCAAATTAAACCCAAGTCAGACGACCTCTGGGGTGTTTTTAACGTACACGTTTTGCTTCTGATCAGCTCTGCCGCATCATTGGTGGCTGGTATGAAGTCAGTGGGACAGTTAATGGCGCAGATTAAGGCGCCTGCTGCGCCTGGGATCTCGGGCGAACACAAACCTGCGAGCAGTTATGCGGCCATGAGCGCCTCATTAGGAGGCTGTGACGCACGGCGCAGAGACACGGTGATGGATGAGGGGGAAAAACACACGATGGTATGCATGGGTGAATCCTGCGAGCAGGAAGGTGGCGGACAAACAGTAAATCCTCACTGCGCCTCTCCGCTGTGCTTCGGTCACAAATGCAAAGGCAAAAGCCCGGATGTTTTTGGAAGCACTGCCAAAAGCTTCAGAGCTTTGTCTTGTGGGAAGTTAAATATTAATAGAGGACAAACTTTGTTTTGGTTCATTTCAGTCTTTTTAAATGAAACGTCACTGAGGTCTCAGTCTATGGGGGTCCGTGGCGCCGCCGCCGGCTACAGGAGCGACACAGCCTCCAGGTTCTCCTTAATGATCGTCTCCATAACCACCTGAAAGACGACCTGGATGTTGGAGGTGTCGGTTGCGGTGGTGAAGTGGTGGTAGATGAGCTTCTTGGGGCTCTTGTTGAGCGAGACGAAAGTGGCGAGGATGAAGCGTGCGGCCGAATCGACGTCACAGTCCGCACCTGGAGGGTGGAGCGACAGTTAGTTCACTTTTCTCTCATTAATAACAACTACTAAAGTTGATTTTCATGGTCCAGCTCTCTGGTTCAGCCATAAACCCGTCCTCTAGAACTGGTGTGGCTTGAGAGGTCTGATGATCTCTGCATGGAACTCAAAAGAACTATGACCCCCTGCACAGAGAAAGTGACTGGTTGATTAAATTCCTGACGGGAGCCTCAATGATCAGATGCTCTATAGCCGAGTTTCAATTGGCTACAGGATTTTATTGGTGCAGCTGTTTCTAATGGGCAAGAAAAACTCAAAGTGTTTAAAATTCATCACGGAAAGTGACTAAGAACAACAATATTTCCTTCTCAGCAGCATTTTGACAAACTTTGAGCCACGCTACAGTTCACTTAGCTAAGGTGATGGTGACCAAACTCATGGTGAGGCCACCATCCTCCTCTGACCTCTGACCCTATTGAGAACCTTTGGAGTTTCCTCAAGCAGGAGATCTGAGGGTGGGATGCAGTTCATATTAAAAGCAGCTCTGGGAAGTTTTTCTGACATTCAAGCAGAAACTTTCCACAAACTCACAAGTTCAATGGATGCAAGAATTGTGCAGATGATATCAAAGAAGGTTCTATGTTAACATGTAACTCGGTCGGTTAAGATGTTTTTGATTGAAATAGCTTTTGGTTCTAGTACATGTGACCACTTGATGCTGCACATTCCAAGAATGACTGTTTTCAGTTCTTTATAATCCATAAAATGTTTAGAAAATCTGCTGTGCAGAATAATTTGGAACATGGTGTTAAACCGTTTAAGATCCGTGGCATAAAAAACACATCTAATGCTTTGTTTGGTGTCTAAATTGGTCTCATATTTGCCAATTGTTTTTTTTACATTTTTGCTTGAATGTACGCTTAAGGACAATGTCAACACTTCATGTAAAAAGCTTTCTTATTTACAGAAATGCACATTTTATCTGTTAGATAATAATAATAACTGAAATTCATAATTTTCCAGACTTCTTAAAATGACATAGCAGCTCTGTGATTTGCTAATAAAACACGTGAAAACCACTTTAGAGTATTCAAACTTTGTCTTAGTGAAGCTTTAAAATCTATAAATGTTATAAAAGAAAATCAGAAATTGACCAGAATTTGTCTGTGCTGCTCAGGACAGAAAAAAAATCAGACTTGATTCATGCAAATATATTCTGTGCATCTCCATCATTAGGGGAAGTGACGCTTCACTGAGGAGCTTGAAGCTTTAATCAGAATCACGAGAAGCAGCTGGACAAAAAAGAACAACGTCTGGAAAGACGTCGGATCTGCATGGCGAACTACAACAAACTTCAACTTTCAAATGACAAAAATAAAGTCCCTCATCTTCAGATCGGTCCTTTCAAAACCAGAGCAGGCTCACCTGGCAGGGCAGATGTTGCATTTTCACCGATGGGTCCAGCAGAGAAACTTAGAAGAACGATTAATTCCCCGCGGCTGTGAACCTGAGCAAGAACTGGGACTCGTCGCCACGTCTGCGCTGCTCTGCCGGTTGACCCCAATCCGAGCCGCGTTAGCATTTTTATTGACATTTGCATGAGAGCAAAGAGGACACGGCTTCCGTCGGGAGATTCGACACTGAGCAGATATACAAAACCTCCAGAAATGACAGCATGTGGGGCACTGAGAGCTTATTATCAGCCCCATCTCTGTGCTTAATAAGCTGCCAAACCGGCTCTGGGTTTATGCATCGCTTTGCGGAGTTTTAAGGACATGTCTGAGTAATCTACTGAGGTGGGACAAGAAGTCTTTTTTGAAATTTATTTAATGCATAAAAAGTGAGCAGGAGAGGCGGACGGATGCATGGTTGTGCATGTCTGTTTCATGAGAAACAGAGGAAACAGAATCAGAGATATTGGTCAAATCTTAGATGAGGAGCTAATCAGTCTGCATACGAAAGCTTTACTGAACATTCAAAACCATCTAGAGATGGTTAAAGGAAGGGTCTGAATATTTACACATCGGTCCAAAATAAAGTATCAAATCTCACATACGGATGTCTTTTTGTTAATATTATATATTTATGAGACACCATTACTAAATCATATAGACTTTTTTTCGCAGTAAATTAGTGCATTTAGAGCTAATAAAGATCTGCTGAAGGTACAGGCTGCATTTTATTCTCACAAATATTTAATAAACAGAATATCAGACGTTTGAATATTAATTTCTGAATACCTTAGAGTGAGCTTCAATCAAAATAAACACCTACAGTGAACACAACAAGAACATACGCCTCCGCTAAATTTCCCAAAAGGCATTTCTTTAATAATGCCAGACTCTAATTTCGTTCTCGATGTTCAGTGTGTGTCCGGATTGAGGCTGAAAAAGCCTCGTTTATAAAAGCCTCGTTTATAATACCAACATACTGACTCCAGGTTTTAAACCAACATTCAAACTTTCTGACCAGTTTCCTTTCGCCTGAAGGTCGTGTTGGAGATATTTATTCTTTTTTTTAATCAATTTAAATTTTGTTATTTACAGTAAATTTTTACTTTTTATTTACTTTATATTTTTGTTTTATTTACAGAGTTTATTTGTAGGTTAATAATTGTTGATTTTAGTTAATTTTTTTGTTTCCCTAAGTAATACAGAAATAACTGCAGATCCATTTTCTATGAGCATAGGGACTGGTATAGGACCAGTATGCAGTGGGTTTGGGGCCTATAGGTTTTTTTTTTATACCAGAGCAGGGGAGGCAGCAGGAAACAATGAAAAGTTTGATTTGGTTATTTTCTTGCCAAACTGGCAAAAATAAGGAGCAACCTTCAAGTTTTGGACATTGGACTTCTTTTGCCTGCGTGTGAAACTTCACCCCAGTGCAGCAATAGTGGCTCATTGATTGAATCTTTATAGGATGTTTGGTTTGGCAAACAATGACCTCTACAGAACTGGAGGCTTTTAGTGGTTTTTAATGGGTAAACTTAACATTATGCCTGAAAAGAAACTGCAGACGCTGACGTAAGTAACATAAACTTGAACAAATGCATGTTTTCTGGTAACAGGTCCATGAAAAACCTTTCTGCTGCTTTTTCAATGATACATGTCACTCAGGTCGTAGAGGTCAATGACATTAGAAGCATCTATTTTTGGTCAAACACTGTGCAGGTGCTGTTCACATGAATGCATAGGGATCCGACCTACCTTTAAACTGTGGTAAATATAACCGCAGATGCCGTCCTGTGTGTAAGATCTTGTCTTGGAAAAGGTCTATCTTGTTCATGAATAAAATCTGCAACAACAACAAGCAGAGAAAGTCGGCTCAAAGCACAGGAACTGAGAAAACGTCGATTTTCAGAATGCCGTCTGGAACGACTGGCAGATTTACTGTCACTTAGAAAGATTCACCCAGAAATCAATAGCTGTATTGATATGAGCTTAGGTAATAACGACACCTGAATGGAGTCATGCATCATGTGAACGTGATCAGTCAGCGGCTCAGCGACCGCGTCCATAAATCTGCATCTCTGCTCTCAGGAAAACACCGTCCTGGTACTTAAGGCTTTGTACCCAACCAATTAAAACTGTGACTTTGTTCTACCTTTTCCCTGCTTGCCTGATCACAAAGTCAAACAAGAGCAGAAAAAAAGCCCCTGGATAATAACAAAGGAGCGATAAGGTAGAGCAGATTTTCAATAAACAGGACGCGGAGCAACACCTAGGTGTGTAATTATCACTGACCAGCCACAGTGACGAGTTAATTGAGGTGGAGGTTACAAATTATCCTGTCACATAAAAAAAAAAAACAACAACAAAAAAAAAACACGTATCATTAAACAGTTTTATTTAATGAGCCTGTTAGCTGCCGTAATGTGCGGCCCCACACACAAAGCCGGAACATAAACACGTCACATGCAGGCATTTTAATTGCCCATTCAGCTGTAATGAAGCTTTAAATAAGTTTGCATGACTAAAAAAAAAAAAGAAAGAAAGATAAAACAAAAACTTAGTTAGTGTTTTCTGCAGGAGGAAATGTGTAAAACTATGTGCCTGTGATGGGATTAGAAAGAAACTTCACGCAGTGAAGTTTTATTTTTGAACTTTGAATGCGTCTTTGTTTCCACACAGATTGACCTGAACTCAGAAAAACCGTGTTAGCAATGAAAGGTTGCTGGAAAACACAGGAGAGTTCTCAGAAGTTGCCCTAAGTGGGCTTTAAATATAACTTAAGTCTGTGAGCTCATTGCTGTGAAGTTTTAATGTTGTTACACAAAGAGGGGAAAAAATGTCACCCTGACAAAGACGAACTTAAATACAACAAGCTTTTCAATTAGTGGAGAGGAAACTGCGTTTATCAAACAGCATTTTCCTGTCCGCTCTGTTCAAGAAGAACCTGTAGAAGTTTAGTTCAGGTGGATTCTGGATGCTGTCTTGACTCGTTGGATTGGATCAGAGAGTTAAACTCTGAGTTTTTCTAATACTGGGCCTTTGGTGAACAAATCTGACGGCAAGATGAAATACAGTGAGTGGCGTAGTTGGTTTGTTGTTTTGTCTGGAGTTTCTTCCTGTATATATCTGTGGATTTTAGGGATACAAACTGAACAATTTTCAATAAATGTTTTACGAGATCGACATTAGTTTCAATCGATTAACTAATAACATCCGCTTAAGCCTTCTTGACGGTAGTTTGGCCGCCGTCCAGCAGAGGGTGCTGCTGGTCATCACCCTCTGCTGATGGCCAGAGGGTGATGACCCTCTGACTCTGTTGACGCAGAAACAAAGATGGTGGAGATATCCCAGAACAGGACAGAGAAAGTCCGTTCTAGGACGCAAAAAGAACTTTATGTGGTTCTGTTCTGACTCTTTACGTTTCACCTTCGCAGCGCTCATTCAGGCGAGCTGCATAACGGAGAATGACCGCCTATTGATTAATCGTTAGTCGATCGATCAATCAGCTCAAGATTAATTAATTAATTCATTGATAGCGTCCATCCCTAGTACTGGCACTCTAGTTCTCATCCAGAATCCAAACCTATGATTGTCATAAACTCTAATAAAACCAAGCCAAAGCCTCTTTCTTTTTGTTTCTCTGCAATTTGATAAGCCTAATTTTAAAGTGATTTTTCTCTGCAGTTTTCTTTGCCATCTTATCACAGCGATGCTGCTATGTTGTTCACATGTGTACTAAGATGTATTCTCACAAAATGCAGGATTTCCCTGATTATTCAGGGATGTTTCTGCATCTCCACCATCAGTTTCAGCTTTAGATGTGACGGAGGAAAAAAGTCTAATTTTTTTGTTGACTTGTCAGCAGAATGACGAGTTTCAAGGTAAAGTGCAGCTGTGCCTGCCTCGAAGCCTCAACTCTAATCTGATCTAATCATTTGGTGAGTCTACTAGGATCTGTAGGCCGACGGACTTGAATTTGTTAGGAAGGCGTCTTATAACCTTTCCAGCAACAGTTGCTTCATTAGGTCATTTCTGATTCGAATTGTTTTAACTTTAGCAATAACAGATTATACAGCAATAACACATTTTCCCGGACGATAAATTGTCTCATAAATTATCACGATAAACGATAATATTGTTGTTTTGAGTCTGACTTATACAAGTTCAGCTTCTCAAAGACCAATAAACTTTACTTTATCACAGAACACTCAACACTAGTGGAAGATATTTTACAGAACTAAAACAATCATGCGATTAACAATTGATTACTGTGACAGGTTTGGTTGACGCACACAAGCAGAAATTTTCTGAATCAAGAACCTTCGCATCAGCATCTAGCTGCTGCTCATCCTGGGTACACAGATCCAGGTGTGTGTTTTTGTAAACGTGAGGCTGGATTTCAATCATTTTAGAATTAAAATTGAGTGCACTGTGCTTTTTCCCACAGCTGACGTACGACTGATTTCTCTTCCTCATCCAGAAACACAAAGACGCTTATGAAAAAGCATGACTATGATGACTAAATATTGAGCAATATCTCTTTTGTTATGGAGCTCCAGACTCTACTAACAGAATAAATACTTTTCTGTCGTTCTCCAGAAAGAGCTTAGGTTTGGTTCTGCTGAGGTGGAGGAAGTGATGAACGGCTTACCATGGAGGTGCTGCGGAAGAAGACGTTGTTGCAGATGGAGGAGAAAAGTTTCATGCTCTCCTGAAGGCGGTTCTGCAGGGAGAAGACAAAACACATCAAACAGCGCTTCAAATAAAATGAAATGGGATTCAAGCCACTTTGGTACTCTGAAGAAAACACGCAAATCAAAATGTTTGACCTTTTAGTCAGATGCTTTAAAGTTGCAAGAGAATTTAAACAAAATGAGCCAAGACGGTTTGTTTTGCTGATTGTGCAGCGTTGCCGTCTGAGTTGGAGTGATGTGTGAAACCTCGTACCACCGAGGGGTCTTCCACCAGAGTCATGTCGTATCCGCTAAGAGCCACGACAAACAGGACCGCTCGGACGTCCTCGAAACAGCTGATCCACTTCCTGCGTTCGGTTCTCTGACCTCCGACGTCGTACATCCTGAAACAAAGGACGTTTGTTTGTTTGTGCCTCGTCAGACACAGGAGCTCTTCGTGTCTGTAAGCAGCTGCATGCACAATCATTTAGGAATGTAGTTTAGGTTCTGATCCAATATTGATATCAGAAATCAGTCCCACATCAGCCAAAAATGTGTCAGTGGTTCTCATACCTGTCAGTGTTGACTACTGATATTTGTTTGATCTGGTCTTATCACTTGATCAAGCTTTGATCAGTCACTCCACTCTGCAAATTAAGTATTAAAAATACCTTTGATTTGTGGTAATATTATATTGGATCGATATTGGCATCAGAGCTGCAAAGCTGCAATATCGATATTGTATCGGAAGTGAAAACATTGTATCGAAACAACCCCATTGTATTTATTTCAGGTGAATAAAATAAATAGCAACACAACATGAGAAAATTGAAGAAGTATTTGCCTCTTACAGATTTGTTCTATTTTTGTTTTTTGATCAAGTGTAAACGCAGCCCTATAACCAGACAGAAATAACAGAATTAGGGGCATTTCTAAGCAAAACACATGAAGATTAAAAGTCACATCCACAGTCCCAAATCAAACATTACACAAAAGTAAAGATTATAACAACATATTTTTGGCATGAACAGTTCATTTTATCGGGCTTTGCCATATTTTCGGTTTTTTTTCTCTTTCTGCTATATTGTTCAATCAGCCGTCATGGAGGCTAAAACGTTCTCCAGATGAGAGGATGGTGACATATTTGGGAAGAAAAAAAGCAAACATCGAATGAGAGCCACATGATTGCACCTGCCTTTGTCTGAGGCGCATTGCATTGACTGTTAATTGGAGAAAGTCTTCAAAGAAGGCCTTGTTTCGGTTTTATGAAACGACGTTTCATTGTTACTCAGACTCCTTTTCAGGCTGCAGCTGGCAGCAGAAATTGAATCCTGATCAACAGCACATTGGTTTGGTTTGAGATGAGAGTCTGAAATTTTCCAAAGCACCACACATGAAACCCACACGGAGAGCGGCGCGCCACACGCGTCTGCCGGGCGGCGTCCGCGCCCTTACCGCCCTCTTTGTGGCAGCGAAAAAGGTCAACGTCCTCCAGAAGGATGAAACAAAAAGACGGCAGGAATGCAAAGCACGCAAACAGAAAGGGGAGAACGACGCATCCGTCCCTCTTCGCCCATTTCCAGAGCCAGATGTGTCATCGCCCACCTTCCTTGTCGAGTGTTTGTGGAGGTAACGCCACGCTTTATTGAGAGGGGAAATGAAGATGTGGAAACGCAACAAGGGAAGCGCACAGGAAAGGGAGCGCAGCATAAATGTCAGATTATAATGGAAATTTTCCACTGAGATGGAAGACAGGCAAAACGCTGATGTGCCATCAAAGACTCGTTCACCTCCCCTTTAATAACGCTACTTTTAAATCTGAGGTTTTTTTTTTCAGTATTATTCAAAACAAACCAGAAACAAGAAGATGCTTCTAGTCTGATTAACACAAACAGCAGACAGATCACAACCCAGACAAACCCAAGCTGACATCAGAACCACGTCTCGCAATTTATAGAGTTAGAGATTATTTTAAACCAACAGATAAAACATTGGTGATGTCGCCAGTGATGTCACCAGTCAGCTCTCAAATTCATAAACAGCCTCCTCATTTTCCACATGAGTTTAAATTAATCTGTGTTGCATTTCCAATGTAGATTTCCAGGTTTTGGGTCAGGCATGTTCAAATATGGCAAAACAAACAAACAACAACAACAAAATAAAACTAAGGAGGCCTGGAAGAGTCTGTGATTTAACATCATCTGTTTTACAGATGTGAATAATTACTGAAAAAGTGAATCCGTCCATCCATCTGTCCTTTATTCCATTCATCCATCCGGACTCACGACCTCATCAATTTGAGATCAGAAACTTAAGGAGAGGATGTCATTTTTTCATGTCAATTGTGATCAAAGTATTTAGAAACATCAATAAAGTGATCAACTTTGCCATATTACCAAAATGACAAACAATCTGCAGATTATGTATGTTATTTTTTATATACATATCTTTAAACACCTTTTGGTTCATCAGCTTCCCTCCACCCAGACCCTGTCATTCATGACCCGTGATGCTCAGCCTCGTCTGCAGGGACATAATTGTAATTATCGGACGGCCTCATGTTAATGATGCAGAGAAGATCCCTATTACAGCCACGGGTCAAAGGTCAAACTCTGTGCTGCTAGCCGAACCACACACACTCATCTTTATCTATCTGAGATGCAAAAATAAGGAGGATAAAACTCAGATTTAACTTCTCAGTTTTAAAAAGTTGTCATTCAAAGCAATCAACCATTTATTCTCTTTCAATCACTGCAGCCCCATATCGTTCATGTCTTCACCATTTGGGGCTCTCGTCGTTTTCCACCTGCTGTGCGTTCCACAAAGTTTTTGTTTTTTTTACAAATATATTCTTATGCGATCTCAATCTGTGTACCTTAGAAACAAAATATTCGTTAAATAAAGCTAAAATATTATGAATTAATGTATTGCTTCCAATTTGTTTTGATGAATATTTTTGTTATTTTTAGTTCTGACCGTACATAAACAATATTTACATAGTCTCAACTTTTTAACCCTTTAATTTACAGCTTTGTTGAAAAAAGTCTCTTCTTTAGTAAAAAAATCTCCCTAAAGCTCCTTTTTCCAATAGGAATAAAATTTTTATTAAATATTTTAAAAATTGTTGAAGAAATATCATGTGCATTTATTTGTATCAATTTTTTTAAAAAGAATATTGTCTTTAACTTCAGGTTTCCCCGTACATTAATACTCACAAATTTAAAAAGATTGTTATGTTTAATCATGGATTCTGCTTTGTGAACACGAAAGAGTCGAAACATGGCAGCAACTTTAATTCCCTTTTTTTGTGCAAACGTATTGTAACATTATGAAAAAGTTTTTTAAATATTCCTAAAAGACAAAGTTTACAATCCATGTAAGAAAATTTAAAGAAAGAAAACTCAAAATCTGACCAAGTTTTAGGCCATTTACATAATTGCCATGAATTTCACAAATTAAGTACATATAAATAAAAAGGCCCAGAGATCCTGGAGGGTTAAGCATGTGTATATATCTGCATATATAGATCAATACATCTATATCTATAAAAAAAAAAAAAAAAAAAAAAAAAATATATATATATATATATATATATATATATATATATATATATATATATATATATATATATATATATATATATATATATATATATATATATTTTTTTTTTTAAATATATATACATTTAGCATAAAGCTGCAGTGAAGCGACGTTGTGGCTGGAAACAGTTTTCTGTTTTTGTCATGCAGCAGCTGATTAATGACAGATTAAACATTGATGACTAATGTAGTGTACAAGGATCATCGTAAAACATAAAATGGTGATAAATCATTCAAGTCACGTAAATCTGAATAGAAACAGTCTCCAGTGTTGATGTGATCCCATTGAGTCATACTGTACTTGTCTGCACACACACACACACACACACACACACACACACACACACACACACACACACACACACACACACACACACACACACACACACACACACACACACACACACACACACACATTAGCAGCTAATGGGTTAAATATTGTTTAAATGCTTCACAACACAAAGCTTTGCGTTTCCATGACACAGATACGGCAAAGGTCTAAGGGTTCAAAGTTTTTCCAAATAAAACTCTGAAAAGTGTGACAACATTCGGTTTTAAGAATGCATTCCTTCCCTTTTTTATTGTTTCTATGCAAATTGTGAAAAACTGAACCGGATGGTTTTATTTTATTCAGGTTGTTAAATTGTATCCATGCTTTGTTGGCGTTTCTAAAAGTTTAGTATTTTATCCGAATTGGAAAAAGCTCAATGAGGCGTCTGAATCACCTCCAAATGAGCTTCTCAGTGTCTGAAACCAAAACTCTTTTGTAATTCAAATGAGATTTAGGCTTTCATAGACGCTGGACCCACAGATCAATAGAAGAGCACCTTACATGCAACAACAAGAGAAGAAATCATCCAGAGCTCAGACAGCGATGTCAGTGAGCGCTGAGATTGCTCTTCAAGCTGCAGGAGAAGGAGTGCTGGGCGCAGATGTTCACGCCGACGAGAAACCTTCAGCATACAAAGCAATAAGACGGACCCAGACGCTCGGCGTGAACGCAGCCCTAATTCTCACAATATGAAACCAGAGCAGGGAAAGTGTTTCCATTAAATTGCTGCGGATGCCTTGAAAGCAAAAACATCCCAGCTCTGAATCTCAAAAAGCAATAAAACCTGACGAACACAAACCAGCTCTCCAAATCCCTTTAAAACCCATTTGGGGGCTCAGTTTGATATAATTACATTAATTTATGTAAAGCTACTCATCAAACTCGAGGGCTTGATCTTCTTTAATACGCGCACATCAACCTGCGCACAGATACGCACAGAGAGCCCGACACAAGCACTGCATGTCAAATATCTAGACCCAATTATTTATCTTCTCAAGCAGATAATAAAAGAGGAAGTGGGAGAGGATCCACCTGAGACTTCCTCTGGCTCCGACCTGACACCGTTTCACCGGCGGCGTTCAGCAGGAAACATCCAGAATAAAGTATATAAATCAGAGGGCGGCATCTGATTTATTCAGTAAAACTGCCAGGGAAAATCGGCGTCTATCTGCACCAGATGACAGATCCATTAGCATTGAAGGTGTTTCAATGTTGCCAGAACCTTTTCGTGGGGGTGGAAATTTTTGTGTCAACTCAGACGTCCCACAAGTCAGCCACAGATGTAAAATGAGCGTTCAGGTGTCACGCGAGCGGCCCGGAGCGGAGTCGCCGGCTGACAGATGGTCTCTCTACTGCGTTTATATGCAAAGCAGAGGCCGACTGAAAAGCAGAGGTAATGATATTTACTGTTCGCGCTTCACACTGCGTGTAACGTCAGATCAGGATGAAAGACAGGTTCATTCTGCAGCAGGACGGAGGAGAGGGAAACTCAGAAACAGGGGAGAAGTAATCAGATTTTCCTGAAAATGATGAGAAGCACAACGCCACGGGACGCTAGAAAAACAGACGAGTTTGGGCTGCATTTGATTTGATTCGATTTTTTAAAGTTTGCTTTGTGCATGCATACAAATGCAGAGGCAATTGTAAAAAAAACCAAATAAATAGATCACTTCCCTTCCCAATTATGTTGCACTTCGTTTCAGTATATCACAACAAACGTCAATAAAACACATTAAAACTTGTGAATGTGACATAAGCTTCATCTTTAAAAGTTAGATTTTCTGAATTTGGTTGATGCTTCATTGGACTTTTCTGGCTCCGAACGCAGAAACTACAAATTCAGACGACACATTTTCAAACCTTTGCAATGCTTTTAAAGTTTTCGTTTTGTGGGATTTTTCCTCTTTCCTTCAGTCCAGTCTCTGTGGCAAACCGTTGCAGACTGTTGTGTGGAGAGTTCCTAGAAATAATCAAGGAAAGTGGAAATCCCAAAAAGCGTCTGAAAACATATGAGGTTTCAAAGAGATAGTAAAGATCAGGACTCTGGAGACGCAGACGCTCTACAATAATCCCTCTGCTGGGACTGAAATCTTATTTTATGTCAGTCAAACTTCTGTTTTTCTACAATTTTAACTGAAGAATTGGTTACAACTAGGCCTGTCAAAATAAAACACAAATCAATTACTCTAAAACAAACTCAATCATTTTAACAGATGCTCTCATCTCAACTATCCCTTCTTTTAAAAGACAATTTTGTCTGCAGAGCCTGCAGAATTCATTTTATTTGTTGTTTCTGTTGTTTTGTTTATTTATTTTGGATATTTAAATTGTCTTCCAATTCCAATGTTTTAATGCTCATCAGAATAAAGTTTACTGATCTTTAAGAGCGTGTTCTTCCATTGTTAGTATTCTTTTAATTGTCTCAAAATAATATTATTATTGTTCACCTCAATAAGGCCTTGAACAGAAAACTCGGGTTGATCAGTGGGTTGGGGTGAGTTGGTGATGATGTGGGAGCAGCTCATCGAAGTGCGAGCCGCCGCTTCCCTCACCAACGACAACTAATGTTCATATTGACATATTGAATCTCGGCCTCTTGTCTCGGGCCGATCTCCAGGCTGTGGGCTGAGATCAGAGAGAGCCGCAGGCGGAGAAGTGGAAGAAGGTGGAGCGGAGAGGGCCTCTACCTGAAAGTCAGGTGATTGACTTTAAACTGGGTCTCTATCACGCCCGTCGTCCTCAGCCGCACTCGGAGGACGTCCGTCTCCGTGGGCACGTAGTCTACAGACGTGAGGCGGCTCATGTTCTCAAAGAAACTGAGCAGAGAAAGAAGAAGGAGGAGAGAAAAGGTTAAAAAGAACGGAGGGCGACGAGAAAAACAACTTGCAGTCAAACTGGAGATCAAACGAGGAATCAGTCATCAGCGCATTGTGTTTGTCCTGGTCGTGTCGGCTGCCAGTTAGTGGGTTGGGTGTGGATGATAAGGCGGGAACCCCCCTGAGGGCTCATCACGATGAATATTCAGAGTCGTTTACCATAATAAACACACTCAGGCTAAGCTTCCAAACACTGATTAGCTGCTAACACAGCCGCCGTGATCGACTGTATCATGAGTGCGCACACACACACACACACACACACACACACACACACACACACACACACACACACACACACACACACACACACACACACACACACACACACACACACACACACACAGAGGCATCTCCACCTATGTGAACTGACTGTGACATTCTCAGCTCGTCATCCTGAATCAGTTTCTTGGACAAAGACAGACGTCCTGCTGCTTCAAAAGGGAAAAAAGAAAAGACACTCGAGTTTGTTTGTTACTTCTGTTGATCTGAGAAACAGTTTGGGTGTCAGGGAGACGTTTAGTTTATTAAAGATGTTTAGTTTGTTAAAGATGTTTAGTTTGTTAAAGATGTTTAGTTTGTTAAGGATGTTTAGTTTGTTAAAGAGCAGCTTTTCGCCCGTCATAGTAAACATTTTTAGATGAATAGCTCCTAATATTCATCCACTGAAATGAATTTATTCTCATAAAAAGGCTGAGCCTGATTTCTGTGTTACCATCCTCCTAGGAAATAATAAGTAATCATAAATGATGGTTAAATAAACTAATTAGATGCACAGATGGGCCCAGAAATGTCATTCTTGTCATCTAATAAACCTCTAAATGTGCTTCCTTTGAATATTTCCTTATACATTTATTATTTTTAAATGCATATGATTACTTGATTCCATGTTAGAAAATAGGTAACTCCAAAAAATAGCGTGAAAAATAAAATATTCTGTAGCCACACTAAAAAAACAGAACAGATGAGTAAAAGCTTGAGTGTAAAAAACTAAACATATCAGGGTTTCCATCAGTGTTTTATAAGCCTGGCGGGCCACCAGGCTTTCCTTGTGCTCCCACCATGCTCAGCTTTGCTTATTTTATTTATTTATAGTTGGTGCTTGGGTATTAATGTTCCAAACACATAATAGCACATAATTATCAAGTGATGTTTTCAAATTTTCTGTCAACTTTAAACATTTTTTAACTCAAAAACACAGCAGGCTGCTGGATGAATGACTGCCGAGCGCCACAACCACCAGGCTTAGCAGGTTTTCTGGGGGAAAACTTGTAAATTTACTCTTGGCCCTAATAATTTGCCCTGTTTTAAATATTATTCTGCCTGTCGATTCATGAAATGTCCTCCATTATCCTGGGAAATCTTGAAATCAAAATCTATGCTTTCCAGGGTTTTCCAGAACTGCAGAGGATTCACCTATGAACACACACCAAGTTTCAGACCAGAGTCCAGAGACGGACGTGTCAGCAAGGATCCTCGCTGTAACACACAGTGTGTGTGTGTGTGGGGGGGGGGGGGGGAGGGTGCGCGTGTGTGTGTGTAGTGTGTATAAGGTGATAGATGGTGGTTCTCAGTGGGAGCCAAGGGGCCTGTCGGTGTGGATAACCCCAGAAGCGAGGCCTCTAACTGGGGCAGAGGATGAGAACAGACGGCCTCCTGGTGCTGCTCAGCACTTTGCTGCCACCGCATCACAAACACACACACACACACACACACACACACACACACACACACACACACACACACACACGCACGCGCACACACACACACACACATACACACACACACACACCATCTCCTTGACACTTATATTTCAGATTCACCTATTACCTATTTATTTCCACATTTATTCCTGTTATATCAACACATACAGATTCTATGGCTGCTCACTTCAGTAAAAAAAATTGTAGAAAACATAATTTAGTTTCCACTTTATAATTATTGTTGGTCTAATCCAGGCTGGTACTCAGGTCTGCAACATGCAGGATCTCTTCTCTGACTCTCTGACACTTTGGGCAAAAATGACAAAAAAATCTGAATTTCTTTTGGAAAAAAAACTGTTTTATTTGTATTTGCATTGCTTTTCATGCAATATCAGCATTTAATGGTGTAAAATTTTAAAAAAAGGATGCAGACCAAATGTTTATTTTATATAAAATGAAAAATATATGGTTTTTTGTGCAATTTTGGTTGAATTACTGCTTTGTGTTCTTTCAACAAATTGCACTTTTTGAGTCTGATACTCCAGTTATCGTTAATCAACTACTAAATTAGTTGACGATTTTTCAGTTCATCGCGGTTAATCATGTTAATCGTTTCAGCCCTGAACACATGGCAAAGTTTTTCAGATATTTAATGTAAAAAAAAGAGAAGAAAAGAAAATTTCCCCACTTATGCTTCATCTCACTAAACCACAACAAACATTTTTTTTTTAAAGATCTCTAAAATCCAAAACACTTCTGCGGTATTTGATTCCATAAATTAAAGTCGCTTAACTCCCATGTATTTAGAAACCGAGAGCCGGGCTCTCCAGATGCTGACTTCAAGTGACAGCCAGCATCAGCTAATTAGACCCCCGCTTCCCCTCCGCTCAGCGTGAGAAAAATCACTCACTACAGCGCCGAGTCGTTCAGCTCGTACTCGTAGCCGCGGGCGGCCGCAGCCCTCACCCCCTGGTCGGCCCACAGGCAGGACAGGGCGTGGCTCAGGAAGGGGAGCAGCACCTGCTCCTCGTCGAAACACCGCCCACACGACAGGACCGAATGGGCGTGGACCTGGGGAGACAAGGAGACAAGGAGACAAGGAGGCCAGATGGATTACTAGGGAGGTAAAACACTGGACTTTATGAGCCTGCCTCCACTTCTTAGACTCGGTTATTACTAAAAATGCTGAAACGAATGGCTGACGTGAAAGTGGGCAGACACACCCTCTGTGACATTTATTAGAGGAATGGTGCTGGCCATCATCTCCCAGCAGGATGTGCGGGGTGGGTGGCGACAGGAGGAGCTTCCATAACTCAAGTAACAAAGTTCAAATCAAATCAAACCTCGCGCTCTCACCACCCACCTGCCTCCTCGGTTGCAGCTGTCTGCCGGGCAGATTGAGTGTCGACATGCCGCCCTCTGGTGGCTGACTCTGTACAGTGCAGGCACGACTCAAAACAATTTACAGGTGACCTATTATGCCTCTCGGGATAGGCTACTCAAAACATGTTCATCACATTTATTTTTGCACAGAATCATTCTTAGATAATATCATTTTATTCTGCTCAGTTATGCCTATTTTGGGCCCCTTTCAGAATGAGGTGTTTTTAGGGCGTCCAAATCATCTGATGCTGGCCACGCCCTCCAACTCTATGTTCACAATCACATGTGAAAATGGCTGCAAACAGATGCACAACTATTCAGCCGTACAAGTTTGAAAAGCAGAAGAGGAGCCTCCTGTACAACCAGCAAGAATGCAGCAAGTGGCTTCTGGATGTTAAGTCACTGTTGGTACACTTGTCTTTTCCAGCTGACCAAATGTGCTGGAGCTCCGCTTAGGGTGCTCGGTAACGGCGAAGTGCAAAACGATTGCAACTCAACAATCTAGAGCTCTTTGGAACAACGTTAATTTACTGCCACAAAATGTCTGGGTGTGTTTGTAGGTCGTTCTTTTTCAGGTGCAGCTGAGACCTAAATGGGAGTGCAAAGACTTGCAAAAAGTGCATTCTGCGTAATTGGTCTCCTTTAAATTTGAACCTAAACTAGAAAACCAGGCAAGGAATGAGAAGGAGGCTACCTTATTCCTGCTGTTAGCCAGGTTGATCCGGAGGACGCCCATTCCATGGAGGACAAACTTCATGGAAGTCAGGAGGTTATCTAACACCGCCGGCTGCAAAACAAAATCAGATCATGTTGATTCATCTAAAATTTTTAAACGTTTGCAGCACGTTCTCTTTAAACTCGTATTTAATTATTTGTCACATGGTCTGTTCAGTAGTAACTATGATATTTCATGTCATGTTGGGGATTCAGCACACAGGTGGAGGAAACATGGGACCAGAACTACCACACAATGTTATAATGGCCTAGTCAAAGTCCAATTGAGAATATGTGGCTTGATTGAAAAACTGAAGCTCTCAATTTTGTAATGATGTTTATAAATCATGTCTGATTTTTCTTCCAATCAAGCATTACTTTGTGTTGATCTATCATCTCAAATCAATACATTTAATGTTTTCAACACGACTTAATGTGAAAAATGATTTTTTTTTTCTTCAAATTGCACCAAGGTTTTGCAAAAAAATTATTTTTGCAAATACTACACATTGAAGGGAGATGGTGAACAAAATCTGATTGTGTAGTTTTAAAAACATTATCTGGGTTTTTTGATAACAGTATAAAGTATCTTTTTTCTCACAAATGTGACCTGAAACTGCTGATCTCACTCAAAACATTCAACCGACGTGACGTGGATGTGGGTTTAAGAGTTCCTGTTTGGGATTTGTGACCTTTTGAATTTGACTCCACTGAAACTGAGCAGCAGGGCAAAACAGAAACCAAGCAGTTATCATTGATCACAACGTAGATCTGGTTCAAAGCGTGACCGGTCCTTTCCCTCCTTTTTTCCTGAAGATAATTGTATTTTAAAGGCGTTTTAAGTCAATGTTTCCCAACCCTGGCCCTCAAGGCACACTGTCCCACGTGTTTTAGAGGTTTCCTTGCTTTCATGTGCCTGATTCGACTGATTGCAGTTCAACAAACGCCTGTTAATCAGTGATCAATTGAAATCAGTTGGGCTGAAGCAAGGAGATACTTTAAAACATGCAGGGTAGTGACCCTGCAGGACCAGGGTTGGGAAGCACTGTTTTAAGTAATTACTGAGACCATAAACAGGACAAAAATCCCCAGAGGGGATACCGCGCCCCCTGCTGGACATTACACCAACTGCAGGCGAAATCTACACTGAACTGCTTGTTTTTCTGAGTCAAAGTTCAGCTTTTATGAACAATCTATGATTGTAAAATGACACAGAACTTTGTATCACCACAGCCTATAGCTATTCTGAACAGATGAAACATTAAATGTAGAATTAAAACCAAGACATTTTGAATTAGGCTCTTAGAAAAGCGTCAAATGTTTTGGCATAAAGTGTGAACAATCATATATCAAACATGTTGAAGAAAGCTGGACTAAGTCTGATTTTAGAATAACTGTGGGATGTAACAACCCAGTGAAGGAGTGTGAATACTTCCTGGTGACTCAGTAAAGATAAATGTGAAGCTCAGGCTGATGATCAGTGTGCTTTATAAGCATTTTATTAATCCACCCTGACATCCGCTGGGCTCTCAGTGGAACGTGTGAGGCGGGACAGGCGGGCGTTGTGTGAGTGGACTGGAAACATTTTGTGGCAGCGCTGCGTTGGTTCCTGTTGAAATAAAAGCCTCTTTGTGCTTCTTTCTATCTTCCTTTGGCTTCACTGTTATCAATGTCAGAAGAAAAGAAGCTATAGATCTCTACAGAATTGGTCGATTAGAAATCTGAGACTGTGAAGTTGAAGATATTCCACAAATAAAGTGTAAAAACTACCACTGATGTTCATCTTTCACTGGCTTTTGCAGGTTAATGGATCGCTCACAAGAAACGCAGCAGTTGCCTCCAATGTTATCAGATTCAAAGTTAAAGCTTTAAAGCTTTACTTCCTGGCGAGTTCTTCCGATGATGTTTCTATTGTTGCACATGAGGTTCGTCCCTCATAATGAAATGAAACGATTGAGATGCGTTGTTGCCTTCTGTCGATGAGCAAAGGGCTCTAAATCCATTATGCTGAGCTCGGCCTGTCACAATAATCAATAAGTCAATTAATCGCATGATAAATTAAAACAAACTCAATCATTTCCATTGGCTTGATTTACTGCTTATGTCTTTTTTTTCTCTCTTTTTACCAAAAACTAGATGACAAAAGTCTTCAGTTTGGTGCTTTGGTCTCAACTTGCCATTTTTCGAAGGACAATTTTCTTTACGAAGACTTCAAAATTAATTTTATTTCTTGTTTTGTTAATTTATTTTGGATATTTAAAATGCCCTCCACTTCCAGAGTTAAATGTCAATTAGAATTTAAAGTTTTTATCAGAATTTAAAGTGTTTAGAACGTGCATTATTGCCTTATTGTTTCGCCGCTGCCGCCGTTACCGCCTTGAAAATGGTCTCAAAGCAACAATATTATTGTTTATTGCAATAAGTTCTGGAGCGATTTATCGTCCAGAAAAACGTGTTATTGTGACAGGCCCGTGCCGAGCCATGACTTCCTTTTACCTGCATTTACTTTCCAGCTGATCAAGCACCACCAGGCCTGCAGGATCCATTATGTGCTTTCCCTAATCTTTTATTAGCTCTCCATCACCTGTGAGTGCAGAGCAACATAACACCTTCCTTTTCTCTGATACGTGTGCGAATTTGTTCCTAGAGGGAAGTCGTTCAGATAGAAAAGCACATTTCTGACCTCCACTTCCTGCTTGCGGTTTAAATCCCTGTGGGAACTCTGAGCGTCAGCAGAGAAGTCCCGAGCTTCGTTACAGCAGCGTAATCTCTAAATCCATCCACCTACAGTGAACTATTGTTCTGCTCCAGGTTTCTGCTGGCTCTGCCTCTCTGAACGCAGACAGCGACCAGCCACTGCGACCTGGATTGTGTCAGAGCGTTTCCAAAGAAAGCAGAGAAGAATGCGGCTGAACGGGTTACCGCCTGAAATTTAATTATTAACCCCGGTTTGTAAAACATGTGGCGCATCATGAGAAGACAGAGAGTGTTGGAGGAAGAGAAATGGCTACAGAAAAATGCAATACTTACTATGTTTTTCATTAAAATCTGTATTTTTAGCAAAATCATTTTTATACAGAATGAACACACTTTTCCATATTCGGCTTCTCAAAGTTCTCGAGTTGTTTATGGTTATAAAAACATTTTTAAAGTATAAAATACTCAATTAAACAAAAATTTGATGCAGGACATGTATTATACCAGATGAAATGGAAGGAAGGAAAGAAAAGGAGAAAGAAAAAGGGAAGGAAAGAAGGGAACAAATGAAGGTAGGATGCAAGGCAAGAAATAAAGTAAAGGAGGAAGAATAGAAGGACACACTGAAGGAAAGAAGGATACAAGTTAGGGTGCAAAGAAGAAAGGGAGGAAGGAGACGATGTGCTAAGTAACAAAGCAGTTAGATAAAAACATTCTTTTGTTTTCTTAATTTAATTTTCTCCGTTGACCCAGACTGTCTAGGAGCGTCGTATTAAGCAAACTTACAAACTTAAACTTAACTCAACAGATATTTCGGGCTGAAGATTTCATAGCCGTGGTGTTTTATAAGCTCTGCTGGTCTGACACAAAGACAGAGTTATGTGTTCGGTCTGACCAAAGCCAGAACAACAGCATGGCCTCAGGCTTCAAATAAAAGAGGGATGAAACAACAAAGAGGTCTCTTCCTCTCTTCATTCCCCTTCAACAGGCCATCCATGTCTGTGAAAGTTTTACTGCAACACAAACACAAATTAAAGGGCAACAAAGAAACACGAGTTGAGAGGCTCGGCCGCTCGCCGTGGGATGAGATGGAGAAAGATGACTTTGAGGCAAACGGAGATAAAGACGCAGATGAAACAATGTCCACAAAGGTCAGATAGAGAGCAGTGTGTGTGTGTGTGTGTGTGTGTGTGTGTGTTTGCTGTGGGAGACTGCGTGGATTCGGGAAGGGAGGGACCGGCCTGTGGGTTAGTGTCATTTTCCCATCTGAAACAAAGGGCGTCAGCGCAGAACAAAGGCAGCGCGAACTGACACCAGCCCAGGACAAAGCAGCGGAGCGGCGGCGTGTTAACGCGCACAAACATTTATTTAAATCTGTAAAAAGTTACTACTGAACAAACAGACGGGAAGAAGCTGCTGACAAATAGTCCTGTTTCTGAAAAGTGTTTGGCAGGATTCATGTTTACTGCAGCATCACTTTTCAGATTCATCAAAGTGTTGTATGGAAAACTAAACAAAAAAAGTGTTCAATGAAAACTTTTTTAAAACAAAGCTACTGTTTTTCACAAAGCTTATTTAAAATGGGCACTAAAATCCAAATTTGAGTTTCTTTTTTCAAGTTCTCCTTTTATTTAAGTTTGTAAACTGTGTTTACATTAATGTCTGCATTCACGTGTGCATCATGAAATGCTTACAAATGTTGAATCAACCAATCACAAGCCAGCATGTGTTTGAGTCAAACGGAGGTAAAAACACATGAAACAATGTTCACAAAGGTCAAATAAAGGCTTAGGCACGTAGACGACGTCCCAACAGAGAATCGGAACGAGGAAGAAGCCAGAATTGCACAATGTAAGCATATTTATCTTCCCAATATCAGTTTCCACAATATTAATATCAAAAGGACTGCCTGGATCCCCTGAAACATTAGCTAATGAATATTTTGCTTCAATAACTAAATATATTGAATATGACTGTAGCTGTATGCAAGTAGTAAGAAAACATGTTGCAGACTGCTGTGTATCTGAAAGATTTAAAGAGGTAAAACAGCAAATAAACACTTTACTGTCACATTTATCCCAATATGGCTGCCATGTAAACATATCAGATTTGGGGACGGTGTGGAAACTCCCAAGTTTTTCAACTTTAATTCTCACTGGAGGGAATTTTCCAGTTTATTTTTTCAATATTGAGCATGGAGAATCTGACTTCCAAGTAAATACAGCTTTCAAACAACACGTAGTTCTGATGCGTAGGGATGTTTTGCTTCTTTCAGTTCGGTTCTTATGCCTTTCTGAGGAAAATAGTCCAGTTGAATTACTGGGCTAGTTCGGTGCACAAAATGTTCTTCCTAATTAAAGCACAGAATGTATTTAAAAAGCCTAAATGAGAAGTTCAGACAAGTCCAGGGAATTACCCAATGCTTAAATTACGTCCTCAGGTTAATGTTGGGATTCGGTAGCCACGCCCCTTTGGTTCCACAATCCTGACCTCAAGGCGTGAAAGCACACACATTCCCTAATCACATGAGATCGACTCATGTGATCGAAAGAGGCTGACGACTTAGTTGAAAACAGGTGAATTAGAAAAAAAACCCCAAAAGACAAGTGGGAGGCCTGAAGAGCAGCCACTGCAAGAAAGCTAGAAATAATAAGTGAAAACAGAAAGTGCTGTGTGTCTGTATGTCAAACCAATTCCCTTTTCCCCACCCTGTCCCAACCCCTGGAATAACAGGAATCTGGCTCCCATTTTCACTCACTCACTCACACCTACACACACACACACACACACACACACACACACACACACACACACACACACACACACACACACACACACACACACACACACACACACACACACACACACAAAGAAGGAAAAGCAGATGTGAACTAAAACCACTGCATACCAGCTTGAATCTGACTGTCATGACAAATCCCTTCTCTTCTCCCCCCAACAGGAAAACAAGATTCACCTCAGCTTCCCTCTGATCTGCATCACTGTTTCCTCCTTTAAACAATTATTTTTAAAACCACTCTGCGCCATCAGGCTCCATCCTCTGCTTCCTTTGCTGCAGCTCTTCCCTCAATGAAAATTACATTGTTCTATTCAAGTCATGGCTGTTTTGCAATATTTCTGTCCAGAGATTGGATGATGACATAAGCCAAATTTGAGTTTCAATTAGAGCAATGCCCCAACAGCAGCAGCTGCAGCATGATTAACCTCTCTTTTAAATTATTAGCTAAGCCACATCTATGTAGCCTAGCTGGTTTATGTAGCTGAGCTCTCTACATAGACCAGTGAGCTCACGTTGGATGCATTGAACCGATTGCATTACAAAGTGTGTTTACATGAGTCATTTATTTTTACAGATTCAGTCATTTGATCGATCGGTTTCAATAAAACAGTCAATAATGCTTTGAGTGATTTTGAAACCTGATCCAGCTTTAGGGGGATAAAAACTTGGCCAGATAAATAAATCTGCACTGATGCAGTTTAAATTAGGTGTTACGCCTGCATGTAAGGAAAAGCGTGGGAAAGGTCATCATGAAACATACATATAACCTTTATATGTTATATGTCCAAGTCAATCATGAAACAAACAGGTTCTCGTTTCGAGTTGTCCGTTTTTCACAAATTTGGCAGAAAAAAGGAACCAGCAAAAAATGCTGACTTCACAAAAAAAAACCTAAATAATAAAACATGGTTTTAAATGCTTAGACAGAACTCAAATAAATGACCTTTCTACAAATCTGTTTGCACTGCTTGACTTTGGACAGAAGTCAAAGGCAACTTTACTGAAATAATTTCATCATCTGATATGTCTGTCTTTCTTCTCATCCCCCTCCTCCTGATAAAGCTGACACCATGTAGATAGTGGGAAGATAACTGCCGAGTATAACAAAAGAAACGCACACAACCAAAAGCAAAAGGCGTCCAGCAAGCAAACAGGAAACCGTCCCGCCAGCAAGCAGCTCTCCGATTTGATCAGATCAGTCAGAAGGATCAGGGCAACCTGGCAAAACTCTGCGCGTCTCAAGACGTTTGCTGCTTTCTGTTTGGTGACTCAGGTGCCAGAGAAGCTGCAAGGGAGGAGAAGCCCCTCCTCTGCGTGTGTGAAACTGTGTGCGGTTCCCACCTTGAAGCTGCTCAGCTCCTGCTTGGTGAAGCCGTTGCTGTGGATGATTTTCATCTGTTTGACCAAAGTGCTCTTCCCGCTCTCTCCCGCTCCTGTGAACGGGATTTGTTGTTTGTTTTTACTTCCACGTTTCAATCGGACACCCGCTCATCGAAGCGCCTCAGGCTGGATAGTCGGACTCACCCAGGATGAGGATCTTAACCACGCTCATCTCGCGCTTTGCGCACTCGTACAGCTCCCCGTCGATCTTGGCGCTGTGGATCTTGGCCCTCCTCTCCTCCTCCGTGTCTTCGGTCCCGAGGCACAGTCCCATCCTGCGCGATCATCTCCTCTCCGACCCAAGCGGACAGAGAGGAAACCTGTGAAAGTGCGAGCTCGTCGCCCGCTCCAAAAAACAAAAAAACCCCAAAAACTAAACACTAATCGTAACAACTTCTCTGGGGAAGTTGTTCGACTTCCCCAGAGAAGTCAAGCAACTCTGACTAAAGTTTTTTTTTTTTTTTAAGGAAGATTTCAGGCCATGTCGCGTGATTTCCAAACTCCTTCTGGCAGTTGATCGTCAAGCCTTCGGGCGAAACAGTTTTTTTACGCACGGCTCGGAGCGCCTCCTCCGCCTCGCTGTGCCAGATTTACTCTGCTGTTAAAAAAAAAACACAACAGACCCAGAGCCGAGCTGGTCCTCCGCAGGTCAGCCTCCTGATCTGCCCGGCAGAGGGGGGAAAAAAGAGCCCAAGTTCTCCCAGATGCCCAGATGGAAACCTCTCGGACCTCCCACGTCACTCCCCGGGGAAATGACGTAGGCTCCGCGGGTCTCACCTGGAGACTTCCAGCTCCAGCCCCGAACTTCGGCTTCCGCCGAGACGAAGTTTGCTGCAGACGTGATGATGAGGTCGTGAAAAATCCACACGGCGGGTTTCTGCTCTTACAACTCCGAACGTGATTAAGGATTTAGCGCTCAGTCTCTTTTACGTGACGTCATCTCACAGGACTGAAAGAACTACCAACATGATCAGCAGTGACCTTATCTGCTCCCGGTCTTGGTTTCACTTTCTCTCATGCCCACGCACGTCTCACTTGAGGTCTCAGTTTACATCTGGATCGTGAAAGGGTTAATTCATCCTTTCTTTCCTTCCTTCTTTCCTTGAATGGGTTTAATCTGGGCCGTGGCTTTATAGCATTCTGAAATCATGAACCAGCCCAGAGCATCACTCCTCCTCCACCCTGTGTAACTGCATGTGAGTTTACCCTTATTTCTTGCTTTTTTTTACCTACATGTTGCCAAAACGCACCTTACGCGCACGTGGAAATGTAATGGAACCCCGTCAATCACTTTATGTTGGCAGTTGAGTGTTTTGACTAAGCATTGAACTTTATGCACATTAACAGAGTATGTCAGCCTTTAGAGATGCACCAGATGTTTCAGCAGTTTCCTGGGGCATCACGCGGTCTTGCGTACCTGGACGGCCACGCCTTGGAGGCCTGAACACTGGATTTTCCACCTATTGTAGAATATGAGACACCTGTTGCTTGTAAGTGACCTTCTAACCCTCTGTGGATTGATTTGCAGTAACTTTGGCGTACATGAGGCCACTGACGATGGCTATTGCTTCTTCGGGTTGTGCTACGCTCCTCACCAGCGCATTCCTTGGCAGAGAGGAACAAGCTTGCTATCAAATACCAAAGTGATGCGAGACCTGATGGCACAAGCACATTCCTCAGGCAGAAAAATGCAATCAAGGCGCACGTTTATCCTAAACCGCTCTCTGACGTGTGAAACTGAAGGGATATGAATATAATAACACTTTAATGTTATTAAAGTGGAAAGAAAACTATTTCTAGAGACTGTGCAGTTGAATAAATAAACACCCATTGTCCACGCATAAAATTGATTTTTGTTACGCTCGGCTCACATTTCTTAATGTCAACATCAAAAAAACAATGTTTAAAAAACCCCAATAGTTTAAAACATTAAAACATAAAGGTTCAAAACTGATTCTGAGATGTGAACTTTGCAGTCAGGTCAGGGGAGTTGTGAAAGTGTAGCTCAAACAGGTGTCCCTGCTCGGCTGACAAAACAAAGCCAACCAGTCAGAGAGGAGGTCAACATTTGTAGAGGAAATAAAACACCAAAAGGTCTGAAAGCTCACAGAAAACAACCAAACTGGCCATCTGGACAAAAACACCCAGAACCCCGAGACACGGAGAGAAACTTTTAAGAACGTGCGTTGACCTCCTGCTGGGATAGTTACTTTACAACAAACCCAGATGCTAGAATTTATTCATGCTCTGAATTTTTATTTGTGGTATCAAAGTAAAAGAGGCTGAACAGATGTATGTATGCACACTTGTCCAATTTAGATTTGCAAAAAAGAAAAATTAGAAAAATATGTATTTTCTCCTTCCAGTTTACAATCGTGTGCTAATTGGCACTGAATTTGTGGTTGCATCATAACACAATGAGGGTGACACACATTAAGCCATGGATGTTGGCCTCATTTGTTCATTTACTACCAAATCTTTAAATAAAAAACAAAAAGGGACTCTCAAAAAAGGCAAACGGATTTTAATTTTGGGGCTTGTGAAGATTAGAAATGTCCTGCAAGGGCCGATAGTGGCAGTGTGAATTGATCATAAACTATTAAAACATGAATAAATCTCTGCGGTCAATGACTTCTTAAAGTTAAATCATTTTCAAACTGATATGACGTGGCAGCATAAAGATAAAATCTACTTTGATTTGATAAAATAATACATCAGGCCAAAACTGCTATCTCCTATTAACTTGTCCCAGGGCCGTATGAGAAGTTTTGGCGGCCTGCATTCGGCCCCTCGGCCTTGAGTTTGACACACACAACTATAACAGAGACAAACATAGTGTGACAACAGATCACCTGTGCTGGGGTCGCAGCTCGACCTAAAAGTCCCTGCAGCAGAACTTTCTTACACGTTGCACAAGTTTCTCAATTCATTTGCTCAAACGCGCCACTCAAAATATGGCGCCGACTGCGACGCTCGCGCGGCCTTTTCTTTTGGTGGCGACCCTTAAATGTCTCGGCCGGAACTACGACTCAAGGGGTGAATAAACGCTTTGAAAGAAATAATGAACGAATGTAGAAAACGTGACATTTAGTGATTTAGTACCGCTTTGGAAGACGGTGGTTGTGTGAGCTTCAGTGGTTCCGGAGCGACTGTGGCCTAATTTCTCCGCCTCGGTGAACCAAGACTATGTGCTGATCACACAAACGTCCACCTGCGTGAATCAACACGTGACGCTTTTCACAGATTACCCATTTTATTTCACAAAGTGAATTATACACGCACAAAAAAAGTTGTTACTGAAAAGCTGTGAAAAGCGCCAGCATTTTTAATAAAAGTTCATATCCCACCACGTTTAGATCACATTAACAGAACTCCGTTAAACGAAAACAACAGAGAAGGTCTGAAAATGAAAAATCTTTCCTTGGATTGTCTCGTAAAAACAGAAGAAAATATGCTCTTTATTTAAATCGAACAGCTGCAGAGACAGAAGTGGTTGAAACTAACAGCCCTTAAAATAATTTATAGCTTCAGGATCGAGGCACTGCGTTCCTCTCACACACTCACGACCTCTCTTCTCTCTGCTCTCGCTCCCACTGACACACATACACTTGGTGCAAATTCAGGTGGTTAAAATCCACAGATAAAAATCTCCACACTATTTCACAAGTTATTAAACAAAGCTATAATGGTTTTTTTTTTAATAATACAGTGAGGACAAAAACAAACCCATAGCTAGAAATTAATGGTGACACATTACAGCGCATTAAACGTTACTGATGCTAAAACTCCTTCGCTTTAAAGACTGACGTTAACAGTTCATAAGTTATGAATAAAATCCCCAACTCAACATTCTTACACATGTAGTGTGTGACTGAAACAGGGAAAAGCTAAACCTAACAGAGAGAAAAGTAAAGTTTTCTTTGGAGGAAATGGAGGAGTAAAGAATCCAGCTGATTTTCTTTTTTCTTTGAAAACGGAGATTGTGTGAAGGATCTGAAACCGGCTGGCCCTGCTGGATCGTCCATCTTAAAGCTGAGTTGTACCTGGATGCAGAAACCAGATTGAAAACTGTCCAGGCGTGTTAATGTGCCACGGCGTCATCCTGCTGCGCCTCCTGCTCCTGGTGTTCTCTCCTCTTCATCGCTTCGAACACCGCCATCTCCTTAGCCTCCTTTTTCTGGTTCCTGGCTTCGTACTGCAGCCTGGAAGCCCAGCAAATATTCAAACACAAATTAAATAAACAGATTAAACTGCTCTGTGTCGCCCTGGCGTTGCTGTTTGTACGGTGTGCCACCTGTTTGCGATGATCCTCTGCACGATGTCATCAGTGGTGAGACTGTTCCCGCTGTCGATGGTCCTGAATATCCCCCTCCTCCTCGGCTCCTAAAGGACAAACACACAACTTACTGCATCGATGCAACCAAGAACCAAGACCAAACGGAGACATGTATTAAAGTATCACTGCAGAAACTGGGTCTCCTGGCGCCATCTTGCGTTAAAAAATAGCAGTCTAATAAATGAAGTAATGTGGCGATTACAACTCCTGGGTGCCGCACAAATTGCATGTGGCAATACGTCTTAAACATCGTTTTTTTTTGTTGTTGTACTCACAGCGTATGGGTCGACCCCGTCCTTGTCTGGGAACACCTCGGTTTTGCCGTGACAAACCAAATCCACCTAGAAAGTAACAGAAATGCAGGAATGCAGCAATAAATGTAGCAACGCTAGTCTACCTAAAACAGTGAAAGATCAGCGTGAGGTCATGTCAAGCAGCAAAACAAGGTGTTTAAATAATGTTTTCATGTTATAGTCTTATTTAAAATTGGTTCATTTTGGTCCAGAAATGTGCAGACCTTGGTACAGCCAGGATACTGCAGGACCCTCAAGCTCCTCTGCTGGAGGACCCGAGCTCAGAGGATAAGAACCACCCGTGGTGGGTGAGAAGGGAATTTTATTTTATTTATTTTTTTATATTCAGATTTTTAATTGCAAGCTCAGTTGTAGTTACTCTCCATCTGTTGTCAGTTTGCCAGCAAGTTGAAATTTGGATGGAGAACGCTACGTGATCAAAAACATAGCTGTCCAAGGGAAGCCGCGTTTACTGTCTGTTAGTCATATTTGTCTGCATTATGTCAACGTACAATGCTTTAATCACTTATGATAATGACTCTACTTTGCTGAAGATTAAATAATCTCAAAGTTGTTCTTGTTTAGCACGAATAAATTACTTTGATTTCCATATTTTCCACTGGGGAAGCATGTCTTTGAATAAAAATTGTGAAGAAACAACTTCCCCATTAGAGGTTGCAGTATATGGAAATCATAATCAATACTACAGTCAGACAGAGAAATAAAGTATCTTAGTGTCAACAAAGCGCTATTAGCTGAAAATCTGATACAGTGAATGATAGTTTTTGGTGTTTTTACACTTTCTTCTTGCATTTGGGAGCAATTTGCAGCCATCTTTCAGCCAGGCTGCTATTGTTCTCTTTAGCTGAACAGATAAAGTAGGTGCTAATTAATCCATTAAGAGAAAGTGAGGAACCCACCTTGAAATGATCCAGCAGGTCCTTGCCCACTGCATAAGGAGCACCAATCACCACCTCTGACACATACTACACACACACACACACATAGGGAAACAATTAGGAAAAAACTAAATCTTTTAATGACTCTTAAACACAAAGCAAAGTTAAAACTTTTTGCTTCCTTAAATGTTAGAAAATTTCCAAAAGGCATTCATCAGAACTGATAGCAGAAAACAGACAATGATTGTGTAACATTGATGTAACTGACACCAACACACACACACGCACGCACACACACAATGCAGACGGTTAACAAGGATTCATTGTTCTTGGCTGACCGCTAACTAGAAGGAATGAAGGGCACAGAGCCCGGTTCAGGCCGCGGTGCTGTGAACACGAAGAGCAGAAAAGCAGCCCACCA